CACCCACACCACCACCACCACCGCCAACATCAGCGTGCATAAGTCTGGCCCATAAATAACCAGGCGTCATCATCACGCTTTCGGTGCCGTCTCCAGCCCTCTCAGGTCCCACGCTTTGCACACGCATTTCCAACGAGACTTGACCACTGGCGACACCTCTGCTGAGCTCCTCTACGATTCGGCAGAACTCCCGGCGCCCCTGCAACCTTCGACCTCGCCCCGTCTCCCTTCACCAATCCCGCGCCGCGCCGCACCTCCTGCGACTGCTCCAAAGCTCCTGAAAAACCACAGGAAGCCCTACGCTTCGCAGCCCGGAATCCCGCTACCTATTGTGAGTCACCTTCTTCCTGTCCATCCTGGCTCTCATCTCGGTGCTTTTGCGCTTCGGTTGGGAGTTGCTGCCTTGCATGCAACCCAACATTGCCGTCCTGCCCCTGACTTCACTTTACACCCCTGCAACAATCTCATTACACCTGCATCGGCACAATGCAATGCGACATTCCTTTGGCGACTTGTGGCTAACATTGGCTTTTGCACAGCACCTTCAACCTCGTTGCACGTTCCCCAAACGTCAAAATGGTTACCAGAGAGACTCCAGTGTTCGCCAACCAAGGCCGTGGAGCCTATGACACAACTGGTGTGCCAAAGCCACCACCGCAGCCGAAGCCGCGATAAATCGTGTCGCTATGCCATCCCTTGGTTCGGCGCCAACTCTCGAAACAATGGCCCGCCATCACACGCTAGCCTCCCTCCCGCGACAGGAGGAACCCACGGCAGACCAAAATCGTGGCGCCGGACTATTCGCTCGGTCGGCTTCCTGGTCGCGACGCCAAAGGCCAGGAGCACAGCCCTCTCTCACAACGAGCACGGACAGACCTCCTGCTTCCCGGGCCCCTGCACGCTTTCGCAAATACGACGAATTTAATCACTGCGCCGCCGCCGCGCATCGTGTAACAACAGTCTTCATTTTTATCTTACTTTCGACAACAGCGACCGGATGGACCACCATCCCCCCAAGTGTCTTGGGATCGATCGATTGCATTCCGACACCGTACATCATTTAATACGCATTCCTCCGAAAGAGACGACACAATGTTTGCCTGGCTCACTGCCACTTGGATTTCCCAGTACGAAAAAGGACAGGCGCGAAATGTTTTGTTTTCCACAAAAGGAAGAGGGTTTCACACGGCGAGAATCTCGTCCCGGGGCTGCACACGGCGTTCAACTAGATCGGATCGGGTTTTAGATTGGGGGCAAGTCAGCTTGCTTCTGTCTGTCAGACGTCAATATTTTCACTTTTTTCCTTTTCTTTTGCACCGCACGTCGCGAGCGCGCAAGCCTTGGGCGAAGTCGGGCGCGAACCAAAATGTCTAGCGATTCCTGCGCCTCTCCTCGACCATACGACACCGGCATTCATGGGTGGACGAGCAAGCCGCTTCGACTCGGCCGCATTGTTTGACATTTTCTTACCTGTCTTAGTTTTTTGGGCATGACCGGGGCTGGGTTACAGAAAAAAGGATATGACTAGTGGGCTGCAATTTTCGTCTACTTCTTTTTATGTTGTTTTATTTGCAGGTGCTATGGAAAGAGATGGAACGGATCACAAAAAAGGGTTGAGAGGATTGGGAAAAAAGAAAACTGGCCGGGATGCATATAGACCTGTTTTTTTAGGCTTCACTGCCGCTTCCACCACTATCCTCCTCCCTTTTCCACCCTCGTTTTTCTTTCCCCCTTCTTCACTTCGCTTCAGAGCCATGTTTTTCCCACCACCAAAACAACATTGTTGTCTCACACATGTACACATAGCGTCGAAGGATCTGGAGGAACTTCGATAATGGAAGAGGAGAGAGAGATTGTGTCTGGCCAGCTGGGCACCCTCGGGCTGGCACCAGGAGGAGAAGAAAGATACCCCCCGAATTTAGAGGTTGCCTGTACAGATTAGTAAGAAGCACCAGCTAGCTACACAGCGTTTTTTTGCTTTTAACAACGATTTTTTCTCAAACATATGGTCCACAAGAGTAAAATTGACGTTGTTCATCACGGTGTGATGACGGTTGCAAAGATGTGAGAACTGGGGTGAAAAAGAAACGACAAGGCCAATCACTGGGCGCCACATGCAGGTCTCAGGATCAGAGATAGGCGAGGCGACGGCGCGGGGGACGGTGGCTGATGGCGCCGTATGTAAGGGCAATCATCAAGAAAGCAGAAGGCGCATCGCATGTATGTTTGTTTCTGGACATGCAAGGTGAATCTAACGACGATCTGCGATTAGGCAGGTCCGGGGCTGATGCATCCCATACCGCTGTTCATGTCAGGTCGACGGTGAGAAAAGACGGATGGAGAAGGAGAGACACAGAGAGAAAAAGGATGTGCGGCAAAAAGAGGTTGAACACATGATATGGCGAGTCTTTCGGGCTTGAGCTTCTTTTTTCTCTTCCACTTCCTTCTCCTCCACCTTGCTCCCAGCCCTTGACCAACAAGATCACGATCTCGATTGGAGAGTATGGATTTCGACTACACACCCACATGACACAGTAGAGGGAGTATTGTACGAGACACGAACCCCAGCTTGACGGTACACAACCCGGGACTCGGTCCTCCTTCACCAGGTCTCAGCCTCACCTGCAAGGCGAACAGACGTAGTCACTCATGCCCGACACCACAGCAACACCAGTTTGAGCCACCTCTGCTGAAAAGAAAGAAAGAGAAAAAAAAAAAAAAAAAAAAAAAAAAAAGAATCGGACCCCGTTCCCGTTCCCGTTGCTGCAGCAAGGGTCCTGCCGCCAGACACCACTACTGTTGACTAGACCAGGTAGAGAGTAAGCGTATACATGAGCATGTATCTGCTCTTTCCCAGGCCGGCTGGGCTAATGCGAGTGGAGAGAGAGAATGAGGGATCCGCCGTCCTGGGTCGGCGAATGAGAGGATGAGGATGGGGCAGCAAGCGTCGGCCTGAGCCGTCGTGACGAAAGTGGGCTCTCTCACGCTCTCCCCCCTTCTCTGTCTCCCACCTTGTGCCAGCTTGTTGGGTTTGGGCCTGGCGTGGGCTGGTGGTCGTTGGCCGGCTCTCCCCTTCCTCACCGTGTGCTACCTGGCCCTGGCTGGCCTACCTAGTCAGGGCCCCGTCTCCGGGACGATGCATGGTGCATATGGTGCTACTGCACTGCGCTGCAAGGTACGGTACATCTGTCGAAAAAAGTTCCCACAATCTCCAAATCCCTCCCCCAGCCTGCGTCATGTACTGCGGTACGGTACGTATGTGTGCAGGTACGGGGGAGATGCTTGGCTTTCTGCTAGCAGCTGGGGCTCCACCTGCTCCACTGCTTCTGGATGACGGGCAGACACCCGTTTGTCGCAGGAGCTGGAACTGGCCGCTGGCGGTGACACTGACTGACTCTGGCTGGTGACTGCTTTGGGGTGGTGGTGTTGGTTGAGCCACACGGAGAGACAGCCAACATCCCCGTACCTAGGTAGGTTGGGAAATGCCCGCCCTCATTTTTTTTTTCCTTTCCCTTCCTGCAGAGAGATCTCATCCTATCTAGCAACGCCGCACACACCGGCAGAAGTTCCCCTGTTTCAAAGGCCCAAAACACGGCGCCTGTGTTGGGGATTGGACGGGAGCGCCACCGACGGGCCTCCAATCGCAGCAGGTGTTTTGTTTCTCGCCTCGAGTGCGAACCCCCCTTCTGGATGCAATACCTGGCCTTGTTGGGCAGGAATTGGATGCACAGGATCCCCTGGGAAGGGAACCGGTGACATTCAGCCTGTTCAGAACCTCTCACCGGGCATGGAATACTTGTTACCATGCGGAGTACTGTGTCGCTGATCAGCGCCAACCAAATCCCCCCCGGAGGGCTTGACCTCGTCGGCCCTTCTCGAGGGGATCCATCCTCCTCGTTGGGCCGTTTCCACGCGCCAAATCTTCCACCTCCAGACCGGTACATGCCCGTCAATCCCTTCCGCCGCCTTCCAGAAGGGGGGTAGCACGGCCAGAGATCGGAGCCACACCGTCCAGAACATTTCCCCTTTGGTCCGACGTTGGCACCGAAACTCAAAACCGCCTATCCCAATCCTTCAACGGCCTCTCTTCCTTCCCTGACCCGTCACCGAACGCACATCACCCAGCAAGAGAGGAAGAAAGGAAGCTCTTTGGCTGGTGCTGGTGGGAAGCTCCCAAAAATCCCCCCAGGCCACTCTACCTGGATCCCCAGCGCAGCCCCGGGCCCTTCCCTATCTCTTGTCATCTTCCTGAGACGTGCGGTACTTCGGGCCTATGCACCAAAATAGAAGAAACCGACGAGCCCGACGACATTACGACGCATGCCTATGTATATACTGTACACACACGCGCACAGCCCGGCCCTCCGCCCAAAGCTGTTCCCGACGGCGATTTGGTGAGTGACTGACCCTCGCTCTTTTATTTTACCGGGTGGTGTGCCCGCCACGGAGGAACAAGGGATGGCCCGGGACGAGCTCGGCCGGGGCACGTGGGTGCGCGGCTGATCGGGCTGAGGAACGTTTCTTCGATCCTACAGACAGACAGTACCGGTGGCAGCGATCATGTCTATTTTCACAACGTCCTCGAGCTTAATCAGAGAGGATACCGTGCAGGAGCAGGGCAGGGTTCCTGATGCAATCTCTCCAGGACCGTGTGCATAGCCAACGTGTGGGAAGCATCTGACAGACGTTGCGGCGTCACCACGCATATCCAATCTACCAGACAACAATACCCTGTGGTCTTGTGTCTGCGCCTCTTTGTCCTTCCGAATCCTACAACCACTTTAAGCAGACAGAAAGACCAACCCCTTTTTCTCTCTTCGCAAGTGAGCATGTTTCAAGATGATATCCAACTGGATGCAAGAAACTCTCATGGCCGTATTACGTCACGGTACCTATGCACATCGCAATCAGATCCTCCTAATAGACTTCGTGAGTGTGTGTGTTGATGACAAGACCACGCCACCACCACTCACCTGCCTCGCATGGTATGTAAAGTTTTGTCACATCTCAGAAAAGACATCCCTGGCACGTGTCAGCAGCAGCAGTGTTCCAACGAGGAAGATAATTGGGGGGTGAGGGGGGGGTGAGGGGGGGGGGGGGCGCGCAAATGCGCCTCGGCGCAATGTTTAAGACAAGCCTCCTCGGTGTCATACATCGAGACGTGAACGTCTTGTTGGTCCGGGGAACGGAATGGAGACAAGGAAGGGGGCCTATAGCTGGCCATTTCAGACTCACCTCCTCCTAACCAGCGGCATCCTCTCCCGGATACTCTCCCACAGCCCCAGGTCGATGTCTACCAGGCCGAGTGCCCCCACCGCGCCCTCCGGCACCGACATCTCCCCGCTCCCCCGCTCCTCCACCGCGGGCAGGGCGCACCGCACGCGGCCCCACGGGTCCACCACTGTGCTCCCGCCGTAGCTGATCCTCCCCTTGCCGGGCACGCCCGAGTGCCACCCGGCCTGCGCGGCAGCGACGACCCAGCACTGCGCCTCGATCGCCCGCGCCCTCAGCAGCGCCTCCCAGTGCGCGGCGCCCGTCGGGACCGTGAAGGCCGACGGGTACGTGAGGACCTGCGCGGGCTGCCAGTGCTGGCCCTTGCCCTGGCCCGAGGCTTGCGGGTGCGCGAGGGCCGTCGCCGCCTCCGGGAAGCGCAAATCAAAGCAGATCAGGCTACCGACGCGGCCCACGGGGGTGTCGAAGGGGGGCACGAGGCCCGGCCCCGCCCGCGTGTGCGCAGACTCGCGCAGGCTGCCGTAGTCAAAGAGGTGCAGCTTGTCGTAGCTCCTGGCCTCGTCGACCTCGCCCGTCGGGAGCACCCAGATGGTGCGGTTGAGGAGTTTGGTGGCGGCTGTGGCTGCGGGCCCTGGTGGTGGCGAGGAGGGAGAGGAGGGCGCCGGCGCCGCCGGTGTCTGCTCGGCGGGGACGGGGACGTGGACCCCCACGCTGATGTGGATCTCGTGCTCCTTTGCCGCGGCCTGGAGGCCCAGCACGAAGGGTGACTCCGACTCTGGTTTGGCCAGGGAGAGGGACTCCTGGGGCGAGGAGGCTATGTAGTCTGATGCCTCGGGGAAGAAGATCGCCTAGGGGGACGGGAGCCTGTAAGCCTTTTGTCCGGACAGGTGGGACTGCCGCGGAATTCCCCCGGCCACGGTAAGCTGTTGAAGCCGTGGCAAGCGTGGCGCGACTCTAGAGCGTGTCTACATCTGTCCCCTTGCGACGAGGCCTCATGTCGAGCATCTTGTCAAGTCTCACTTGAGAGGCTAGATGCCTTTTGGTAACAGCCCACGATTGACGTAGAAGGGACCGCAGCCCACCTTTGCTCCCGCATGGGCAGCCTCCTTGACCAGCTTGAGGCACTGCTCCAGGTTGTGTGGTATATCCGCCGTCGAGCAGATCTGTCCAATTGCCTGTTTACGTCATCATCAAATCCGACTCTTTCTGGATATGTGAAAGGCACTGTCTCACAGCAATCGCCATACTTGAAGAAGTGGCTGAGAAGGGTCGTCCTGTCCGGAACAGGCGAGGGGATCCAATGGCGGCGAGGTGCGCTGTGCGACAAGTAGACCGAGTGGAGCTTGACAGATGTTGCCTCGCCAATGTGCGTGTCAGGAACATCAGGTCGTGAAAGAGGCTTGCTACCTGCTCACCAACCGTGTGTACATAGTTCAAGGCTGAGAGTTGTTAAGAAGTGCAGGGTAGGTATCGTCCAGGGAGGAACCAGTCCGCATGTGGGTGGATCACGAGCAATGCCGTCATTTGTCAACTTGCCCATTTCAACTCCTATCTCCGAAACCCTCTTGAGGCGTGGTTTACTTCCGTGCAAGGCGCTACCTCGGACTGGACGCACTTATGATGCTTTCAAAACGATATTGAATGGGTATTCTGACCGCTTCAGCGCAGCTGCTGCACTGATTTTCTATCAACCCACTGAATTCCAGCCTGCCACATCGAACAATCTTGACCCGCCCTGTCCGGGCGTAGTCGGGGTGCCCGTCAGATGGACGAGCTTCAAGCACTATTGCTTGATGTCGCTGAGAGGCCAGGAGCGCAGAACATAAAAAGACCCCCCTATTTTTGTGTAATCACGAAGCGGATCAATGCGTGCCTTCCCTCCATACCGATGCCCTCTCGTAGAACGCCAGGCTGAAGTCATAAATCAACACAATGCGAGGTATTAGTCTCGTCGAAGCGAGATCCTTGTGGTCCCCTGTTACCGCAGCCCTCCATTCCGTCCTCATTCATCATTCGCTTCGACTTCTGCTTGCTGGGTACCAGCACTTTCATAGCGGCTCCTCACGATCCAGAACAGGGGTAGAGTCATAAGCTCCCAGTTCGTAGGTCGTGACATGCAGCCAAGGTACCGTGCTGGTCAGTGGCCCAGCAGGTGTGTTTGCTGCTCTGCCTATCTTGCTCAAGAGGGTGCGTAGCCCCCAAGGCCTTCCACGCCGTCGGATGGTCCCAGATTTTCCGAAATCAGGGCGAATGTATTCGTTGGCAGAGTGATAAAGGTCCAACGTAGCGAGCATTGCTCGGAGAACCTGCAGGTGAATGGCCTTCTGAGGTTCCGATTCAGAAGAAATCTTATCGTCTTTGTACGAGTAGCGTCCCGAGCTTCTTCCCGCCTACTCCGCCCGAATTGGGCTGAGATGGAACTGATTCCACTTGACGACTGTGGCTCTACCGCGGCTCAGACGCGTCAAGCTTCATATACGCATACTGCAGGGCCAACTTTTCTCGACCATCACGCTCTAGGACGGTGATCCAATCCCTAAGCTGGATATCTTTGCCCTTTTCGCTGTACTCCCGCCAACTTCCAAGCTTGTACCGGCCCTCCTGGGTCAGAGACTTGCTCTCTGGTGCTTTTGATGCCGAGGCAGAAGCAGCTGCGGACGCAGGTGTCCCTGGGGCGCTAGCTGTCGGCTTGTTAGGAGTGCTTGGGGTGTTTGCTCCCATCGACATCCACGAGTACTTCTTCTTGCCACCGCCCAGAAATTTCATCGTTGTCTTGTTGACATTGTCAGCTGAGGCATCGTGCTTCTGAGCCGCAATCTTCTTCTGCTCCTTCTTGGTTGGTGCCTTCTCGGGCTCCGGGGCCGTGGAGCCTGGGGTTCCAGGCGCTACTGAGCCTGCCCGCGATCCATTTGCTGCAGTGTCTCCAAGCAATCGCTTCTGGCGCTTCTTGAGGCGCAGCTCCTCTGCTTCTCGCTCGGCTCTGCCCATCTCTCGCAGAACCTGAGCCAGGTGATTGGTCGCCGGCACGTTCGGCCTTCCGCTTACGCCCGAAAAATTGCTTCCATCAAACGAGCCTGCCCCCAAGAGTGTCAACAGAGGATCAGTTCGGCCTATTGAAGGGGTTGGTCAACTCACGTTTGCGTGGATTGGTGCTGCCGTTAGCACCACTCTCGACGGCCTTCGTCGCCGTCTCACCATCATTGACAGGGAGGCCAGCGCTATCCACCGGGACGGCAGAATCAGCCCAGTCTGAAGGTATCACACCATGAGAGGTCTGCTGCCGCGTGGTCGCAATCTGATCCGCATCTTCAAGAAGCTCTCGTACCCTATGCTTGGTGGCAATGGACAGTAGAGCAAGCTGGTCAATCAGAAAGCTATCTGGCGGTAGCACTGACCCATAGACAGATACCATGGCGCCATCCGGACCTTCTCTGGTTGTCACTGAGACCTTGGGTGCAACGGGGTAATCGGCTGGATTCCTGGATTTCTGAACGGGCTGCGTCTTGGTATCGAGGTTGAGGTCCAAGTTGTATTGCCGAGCGAACTTCTCTGCGCGAGCGTGCAGATTTGCCAGCTGCAAGAAAGGGTCGCTTTGCTCTACAGCCCGAGTTGCCGATAGACGAGCTGCTGATTCGTTCCATCTCTGCTCTGCCAGTGCTGCCTCAAACTCCTTCTGACCAGTTGTTGCGGGCGCACCGGTTTGGTTGACTGGGCCGGCGCCGTAGAACGACCCTCGACTGCCAGGCGCGTTGGCGGGAAAGCCCGTCCTGGAATCCTGGCCGAAAGATCCGGCATAGTACTCAGCGAGCGCGTTCTCCTCTTCACGAATGTCGACCCCTGTGCCCAGAAGGCTGTCTGTGACCTCGTATTCGTAAGTTCGTTGCGGCCGATCTTTCGCTGGAGGCGGCCCCATCGCGCCGGCGGCAGGCTGCTGGCCCCCAGTCGGTACGAAACCTGCGTTGACGTATGGTGTGGCGCCAGGAGTCCCCGGAGTGCCAGGGATCGGAGTCGTTGGGCCGCTCATAGTTGGAGTAGACGGGTGGCTTGGATGAGGATGGGAGAACGGGGGGAGCGAAGGCGTATTTCCATTCGTGTAAGATGGTCGGCTGAACTGCTGCTGTGTATGTTGAGTCTGCGCTTGCACTGGCGAGGGCGCAGGCGCAGGCGCGGGCGAGGGGGCGGGAGCGGGCGAGGCAGACGGAGCGGGTTGTATGGCGGCATATGGAGGTGAGGTTGCCGAGGTAGGCGTGCCGACGATTGGACTTTGAGGGGCAAACGATGGCGCATGTGGCGAGGCGGGGTATGGCGATGGCGGGTTGGACTGCGAGCCCGGTTGGAATGACATTTGTGGTTGTGGTCTCTTATTAGCCATGTTCTGGCTGCTCGATGGGAGCGCAAAACCAGGCTGGGGGGTTGGAGCAGGAGATTGTGCAGGAGAGTAAGTCCTGGGCACCTGCTGAGACACCTGCTGAGGCATCGGTTGGGTTGGTTGAGCCATGGCGACCGTCCTGGGTTGTGAGCCGTCTGATTGTGAATGAGAGACGACAACTTTGTGTGGATGAAGCGACCTGGATCTAGCTCAAGCTGTCCCCTGGGCGCACGGAGTGTTGGCCTGCGCTTTGTGGTGTGTTCGCAGTCGTGCAGACTGAGGCAGAAAGCCTGCCTAGCCTGTCAAACTTCCGTTACCGCAGCCCATCCGGTGTGTCTGACAGCCTGGAATTAATCTATGTGATGCTTTCCAGTTCCTTAAATGGAGGACTGGCACACACGATGGACGCGATGGGATGTATGGTGGTGGTAAGGCGATGAGTTAGATCACTCCATCGGGTTGGTGATGGGTCGAAGTTGCGCGCCTCCGCTTTGGATAGCTCCTCGACTTCGGCAGATTTGATCACGTGGGGTGCGTGGACTGTACGTACTCGTCCTAGGCCAGCCTCCCTGTGTCTCTGCTGTAGCCTGTCGCGTCTTGGTCCGTGCACCACATTGCATTGTCGCTCCTGCTGACAGTCTTCAACCACCACCACGTCCCTACAGAACATCAACTGGTCTCCTTTTCATACTGTCTGCTCTCCCTTCCTCCCTCATCACAAGACCACTTGTAGAGTCTGCCAGGTCCTTTTGGCCAGAGCCACCCAGCAAATTAACAACGTGCTACAGGAACCAGACGAAGAAGACATGATCCTAGGTTCAATCGTCAAAACATCTTCTTGACCAACATAGATGCCAGCCAAGGGGTGAATTGCTGCTGGCCTGCTGCCCGCCCACCTCTCTGACAGTCAGGCCTTTTTAGGCAAAACTCATCACAATGGCATCCAAACGCAAGGCCTCGGCAATGGCCAATGCAGCCAGCGAGGAGCCTGTCGACCCAGCAGATGAGCTCAAGTTTCATTGTCTTGGCGGCGGCAACGAAGTCGGTCGGTCCTGCCACATCATCCAGTACAAGGGCAAGACTGTCATGGTGAGCATCTCCATCACGTCGCTTCTCATAATTGTTGCCCAAAAATACTGAACTGCGCTGCAGCTTGACGCAGGCCAGCACCCTGCATACGATGGGCTAGCCGCGCTCCCGTTCTTCGATATCTTCGACCTCAGCACTGTCGATGTGCTTCTCATCAGCCAGTAAGTCATTTGAACCCTCCTGGAAGCGGGCAGACTCACGTTTCGGTGGATTCCCTTGGGTATGGGTCGGGCTCATCTCGCACTGCTTCGTCCTGATGGGGGCGCTGTGACTATCATGGTGTCGCCACTTCTTCGCCCATTTCTATCAGTGTATTCAGAGATCAATACAATCTACAACAATTTGCCAACCCTTGCCACCTTTGTATTGAGCCCTCAGCGTCGTGATTCCACGCCCGTCCCTTCCCTTGGTGGTAGATAGACAGCTCACCGTGCCGCCGCACCACCTTCCAGACCAGCCCGACAATGTACTGACTACATACCAGTTTTCACGTGGACCATGCGGCCTCGTTGCCGTATGTCCTGGCCAAGACCAACTTCAAGGGACGGGTCTTCATGACACACCCCACCAAAGCAATTTACGGATGGCTTATCCAGGACAGCGTTCGTGTCGGCAACGCATCGTCCAACGAATCATCACAGCCTGTGTATACAGAGCAAGACCATGCCAATACCTTTCCCATGATCGAGGCTATCGACTACTATACCACCCACACTATCTCTTCTATCCGAATCACACCTTACCCTGCAGGCCACGTCCTAGGTGCTGCCATGTTTCTCATCGAGATCGCAGGTCTCAACATCTTTTTTACAGGCGACTATTCGAGAGAGCACGACAGGCATCTTGTCTCGGCAGAGGTCCCACGAGGCGTCAAGATTGACGTCCTGATCACCGAGTCTACGTACGGTGTGGCCTCACATGTACCCCGTCTCGAGAGGGAACAGGCCCTGATGAAGTCTATCACCGGCATTCTGAACCGCGGCGGGCGTGCCCTACTGCCCGTCTTCGCGCTCGGCCGGGCCCAGGAATTGCTTTTGATCCTTGACGAGTACTGGGCCAAGCATCCCGAGTTCCAGAAAATCCCGATCTACTACGCAAGCAACCTGGCCCGGAAGTGCATGGTGGTTTATCAAACATACATTGGAGCTATGAATGACAACATCAAGCGCCTCTTCCGGGAACGCATGGCCGAGGCCGAGGTTACTGGGGATGGAGCAGGCAAGGGCGGCCCGTGGGACTTCAAGTACATCCGATCCCTGAAGAGTCTTGACCGGTTCGAGGATGTCGGAAGTTGTGTCATGCTTGCCAGCCCTGGTATGCTCCAAAGTGGCGTGAGCAGAGAGCTCCTCGAGAGATGGGCACCGAGCGACAAGAACGGTGTCATTATCACTGGCTACAGCGTCGAGGGAACAATGGCCAGACAGATTATGCAAGAACCTGAGCAGATTCAGGCTGTCGTCACCAGGAATGCCGCCGCTGCTCGCAGGGCGCCTGGCGGTGACGCAGAGAAGGTGATGATTCCTCGGAGATGCAGCGTCCAGGAATACTCTTTCGCGGCTCATGTCGATGGTAATGAGAACAGAGAATTCATTGAAGAGGTTGCCGCACCAGTGGTCGTAAGTTGATTCACAGCCTCGTCATCTCGATCTGGGTTCACTAACATCCATCAGATTCTTGTGCATGGAGAACAGCACAACATGATGCGATTGAAGTCCAAGCTTCTCTCTCTCAACAGCAATAAAACCGTCAAGGTCAAAGTTTACAGTCCAAAGAATTTCGAAGTGCTCCGCATCCCATTCAAGCAGGACAAGATCGCCAAGGTTGTCGGCAAACTCGCATCGATTCCACCACCCACCCATCTCCCAACCCCCGAGGACGACACCCAACTCGTCACTGGTGTCCTGGTTCAGAACGACTTCAAGCTGTCTTTGATGGCCCCAGAGGATCTGCGAGAGTACGCTGGCCTCACTACTACAACCATGACTTGCAAGGAGCGCATACGGCTCAGCGCCGCTGGCATCGATTTGATCAAGTGGGGTCTCGAGGGCACGTTTGGCAAGATTGAGGAGCTGCCAGAGATGAAGCATGACCAGGACAACGGCAACGGTGCTTCTCCCAACGGCGATTTCGAGCCCGCAGACGAGGAGATCAATCAAGTCGTCGCAGCCTACCGTGTCATGGGCTGCGTGGTGGTCCGCTACCGCAACAACGGCGAGGTCGAGCTCGAGTGGGAAGGCAACCTGCTGAACGATGGCATCGCCGACTCCGTCCTCAGCGTGCTCCTGTCAGTCGAGAGTAGCCCCGCCGCCGTCAAGCGGTCCGCGCAGAAGCACTCCCACTCGCATGACCACGTCCACAACGACCTCCCACCGCGCAACCCCCACGCGAACCTTACACCAGAGGAGCGCCTCGAGCGCCTATTTATGTTCTTGGAGGCCCAGTTTGGCGCAGACAACGTCGTGCCCATCGAGGAGCCAAAGCTTCCTCCCGTCCCCAAGGACACGCCCAAGAAGAAGGAGCTCACCGACGGCGACGGCGGGGACGCCTCCATGGAGGACGCCGTGGACGGCGAGGGCCAGGATGAGGCGGAGGAAGAGAGGGAGCTCGAGGCGCGCAAGCGGGCGGAGCTGGAGCGGCTGCACCGGCTCGGCATCCCCGTCCCCGGCGTGGCGATCAAGGTCGACAAGATGGCGGCCAAGGTCTGGCTGGAGGACCTGGACGTGGAGTGCGGCCACAAGGCGTTTGCTGACCGCGTGCGCAGCGTGGTCGATCGGGCTGTCGAGGTCACCGCACCGCTGTGGGCCTAGCGAGCGGCGAGCTAGGCACGATCAAAGCTTTGGAAGGGCGGCCATTATCGTGGACCTCAGTACGAGCAAGATGGAGATGGTTCAGGGTGCCATCAGAAAGATGGTGGACTTAAGGGTGTTCTGGGCGGGTTTAGAGTAGGCACCAGAATATTATTCTGCAGGTAGAATGCACAGTCAAAATGTCTCATGGATGTTTCACGTAAGGTCTCCTCATAGGAAGCAACATTGGCTTAGTTTTGATTCATTTCTGGCAAATATCTTGCCAATCTATCTAGCAGTAGTCCCTCAGCTGATACTGCTCCCATCTCCGTATTTCTGCAGCCGCGGTGTAGATTGCACGGATTTCTCGGGCATGAAATGCTCCCCTCCCCAGAATTCCCATTCCAACTGCGGAGCGGGTGAACCTGAGCATGCTCCCGGTTGAGATCAAGGCATATATGCCCGTTGAACAAAGCTCCGGAGAGATATAACCGCCTCCTTGACCTCATGAAGGCACCAAAACAGCGTCACGTCTGCCACGAGAGCCCCCCCCTCCCCTCACGCCTTGCCCTTTCCCTTCTTGTCCTTCTTCTTCTTCCCGCCTCCGTCCTCGCTCGCGTTCCCGCTCCCGCCTCCACCTCCGCCCGCCCCGGCCAGCAGGCTCGCCATGTCGCCGCCGCCCTGCATCTCCTTCATCATGTCCTTGAACAGGTTCTCGCTGACGCCGCCGCCCGTCATGGCGGGGCTGTAGTACGGCAGAAACTCGCCGACCTTCCAGCCGCGGGGCACGGCGGGCCGCGGGTAGGGCTTGCTCCTGTCGGGCGCGGGGGCGCCCGGGACGCGGTCCCAGAGGGCCTGGCTCTTGTCGCTGGTGGGGTTGTTGCGCAGGTGCTGGGCGACGAGGAGGTACAGCTGGTGCTTGTTCTTGACGCCCGAGGTGCTGGAGGGCTGCATGGTCTTGCCGTCCCGCACGATCGCCTTCAGCTGCACCTTGATGCGGCCCGGGTTCGCCCAGTCCTTGGGGTGCATCTTCTCGGGCTCGAAGAGCGTCTGCAGCCGCAGGTCGCGGCACGCGTTGATGATCTCGCGCGCGAGCGGGTTGGGCACCGCCAGCTCCTTGGACACGCGGCGGCCCTCGGCGCGCGTGCGGTTCGAGTCGAAGTAGAGGGGGTACAGGCACTGGAAGCCCGCGTAGGCCTTGGGGTTGGCCGTCGTCTGGATGTCGTCGGCCTGGCCGGGCCCGCTCGAGAGTGATGGTATTTGTGACGGGTTCATGAGGTGGGACGCCGCTCCCGGCTGTTGCTGTTGTGCGGGCCTCGAGGGCGCGGGCTTCTTGTCGTTGCGCGCGCGGATGATGTCGGACTCGACAAAGTCGTCGATGTCGTCTTCCGAGGGGTCGGACATGTCGACGTCGCTCTCCTCGACCTCCTCTATTCTTGGGTGCGACATGCTGGGCCGGGCGACTGGGGAGTGGGTGTGTGGATGGTTGATAGTCGATGTTGGAGGCTCGAGGGTGGGCGGAACTCAGCTCGCAGGTCAATCGTACCGAGCCGTTGTCGACGTGGAGGATCTATGGTGGGGCTCCATCCCGACAATTCGTTTTACACACCTGACAGAAGCTAGCTAGCTACCCCTGTCGCTGGGCCGAACCAAGGCGGGCAAGCAACCCACAGCCCACGGCCCACGGCCTAGTCCACGGGTGTGGGGTAGGAATGTAGGTTGGGGACCAGGGGCCCAGGGCACCCATGAATCGACATTTCACGATTACAGTTTTGAGCTCAATTCTGGCTTGGGAAGATGCATTCTGTGGCATAGCCGTGCTATGAACATGGGTATTAATACTCACACAAACCAATCGGCTGAGCATCACCACCTCGCCCGAACTCGTAATGCCTGGACAGCCGCACCAAAGCGTCGGGAGCACAGGCATCGGGAGAGGCTTGCTCAAGAGACTGGCATGCATTGACAGGAGAGGGGAGGCCCAGATTAAATAGTCCGTAGAAATAGACGAAAGCAAATACTAGTAGCATAAGTGCTACTGTTTTGGTTTTTGGTTTTTTCTCAAAAAAAAAAAAAAATCCACCGAGTGCCTGCAAGGTCAATCTTGACCAAGGCCTTATTCCTCATCGAGCCACTGATATGTGTTCCTGAATTTTGTACCGGGCGGATGCTCGAATACCTTGAACTTGCAGTACGGATGGGTGCACATCCCATCGCGGGTGCTGGGGCACTGTACAAGCATGTCAGCTCACGTCGCAGTAACAATGTCCGCGCTGTCTACAGTCAGCAACGCACATGGACCGGGACAGGGCTTACATGATGGCCGTAAATACAATCGTCGACCTCACAATCTTGACCATTGGTGCAGGGATTCAGGCGAGCCAGGAAGGCTATGGCAGTCCTCTCCGCTTCATTTGGTCGATATTTGTGTTCAAAACAGCACGAGTCCCCCTTCGCACAGGGGCCCCGCAGGTAATGATTATTGCAAAGTTTGTTGTTGTCCTTTCGTTTCTTGATGTTGTCCAAAGCTGCCTGGTTGACCTCCAACGGCGGATCCAGTCCTCTGGAGCCCGGATTCCAAGTGGGTACTTTCTCGCGCCGCACGACCGGCGCCTTGACCGGTTTTGGCTGAAAAGGCAGGGTTATTTGCGGGGGCGGGCTTGCGCTCTTGATGGCAGTAGCATAAGAGGACGCAACGCTCGCAGCAGTACCAGCCGGGGTGGCTGATGGAGGGGGCAGCGGCGACATGCCCGCCACGACAGCAACCGGGGAGGACATGGCTGAGGGGGGCGTCGGGTCGCGGAGCGTCTTGTCGACAAGCTTTTCGGCGCGTAACAAGTCGGCATTGAGGTTCAGCGTGTTCAGGTTCGCCGAGGCCAGGTCCCGAGTCGAAGGGGTGCCCTCGAGAATCGTGATGCGCCGCCGGCTTGCTTCGTCGCGAAGTATTTCATCCAAAAATGGGGCATAACCAGCGTCATGTGAGACCCCAAGCACAAGTTGCTTACAGTTGTGATTGCGAAGGTTCCACCTGATCGCCTCTGGGGGGGGGGGGGGGCTGTCAGCACTCGGCCTCGAGGGGCATTCACCTCCCGGTTCTCGACTTGCCTTTTATTTTGGTGTCGGTCCTCTCTTTCCCGTATCCAACGTCAATAAAATCAAACGATGCCATTCCCTGGCTAAATCCTAGGGTGAAATCCTTCAACCTGGACTCGTGATCTAAAGAGCCGTCGTTTCTCATTGCCTTTGCGAGGCCCGAGAGGTTGGCCACGACCCTGGCTATGACTTCGACTTCGCCGGCAAGGCTATGACATTCCTTCAAAATGGCAGTGCGAAGAGCGTAGGCGGCCTGTTTCCCGCCGTCGATGCCCTTGTTAACATACTCTTGTTTGAACTAGCCAAAAAGGTCAGTCAACCGAACAGTAGCTGGCCGCGACATGGAGGGCAACTTGCATGGCAGCCATCGCCGTCAATTAGGATGACAACGTAAGGATTGTAATTCTGTACTTGTTCAGCGCACATCCCATCAAGCCGACGCGGGCATCTACCTTTAAATGATCAACGTCCATGGTCATGAAACCTATTTGATGCTCCAACTCTTTTACACGTTGCTGCAACTCGCGCCTCGACTTAGTAGCGTCTGCGAGGTCGAGGTTCGCGTCGCTAATTTGCGAGCGGAGATGCGAGTTCTCCTGCCGCAAGCCGGACTCGACATGTTCGCAGTAGACGAGGAGGTCCTGGGTGGTGGCCGACAGTCAGCAGAACGCGACACATAGGCGGAACTTGGGGCTGAGGGCGGGAGACGCCCCAGTATGGTTCCGTCCAGGATTGGCCCAGAGTGAGTTGCCCATGAGAGGGGAGACAGGGCACGAAGGATGCCAGGCGAGACTGTCCCAAGAGGACTGGCGCAGCGGGAACACAGCTTACCTTGATTAACTCGTCGCTCGTATCTCGCTGTACCTGAAGCTGCCGAAATCTCGAGACAAAGTCCATAAGGTTGCCACCGTCCATTGTCTTGCGGTCCATGAGATTGCCAGGCAATCACGAGCCAACTTGTCGTGTTGGGAGAAGGGGAGTAGGCCCGGCCGAAAGAGACAAGCAAGGAAAAATAAAAGGCCAGGCAACGGGCCAATCCCACAGGAAGAGTGCAACGGTCGGTCGGAGGCAGGTTGGGCACACATGGGTGGGACAAAGTGCCGTAGCCGAAGTCCTTTTCTCACAGCGTACCTGGAAACCTTGGGAGGTAGGACGGTGTCTCGCTTGGGTCCAAGTAGAAAAACTCCACAGTTGCGCTTCTCTGGGGGGCAGAGGTTTTCTTTGCCTCTCAGGACTGGGGAGAGAAGAGAAGGCTGGCTGCAACGCGACAGCTGCACATGCAATGCAGACGGGTGCCGGTGCAATACTTATGGATATCTGACCTTGTAGACCTACGTAGCATGAGGCAGGCAGTCTAGCAGTCTACCCAGGCCAATGTGCGCAGTAAGTGCAGTGCACATGGAAAGAGATGGGAATTGGAAGCGAGAAGCGACGCCTCCACGGTTCATAAATTTTGTGGGGAGCTTCAGGGAACCGGGATCTAATGCGACGTTGACGGGCTGGATGCTGGATGCTGAATGGGGACCTCCAGCTGGGAGGTTTTTTTTTGCAGCGTGCGAGGCGTGCCAGGCTGCCAGGTCGATCACTGTGGGTCCCACCGGCCGGGAGCAAGCCACCAACGGGGGGCGAGAGGGCGTGTGGAGGCGTGTGAGTTGAGGTGAGAGGTGAGGTGTGTGAGCTGGCCCGTCCTGCACTGCGCACTGCAGGCTGACTACATGGCTGCGGTACATGCACAATTACGGAAAATGATTGATTACCTAGACTACCATCTGCAGCTTTCTCTTTCCACCGGCTCTCGCTGGGAAGCGGAGCAGGGCACAGCCCTCGAGATCAAGACTCGCAGTTGCATCCAGAGGAGCTCCGTTTCGTGCCTTCTCTTTCCAATGCTTCTTTGTGGTTGCGAGCCCACTTCCCAATAGCCCGCCCCCCCCCAGACACGGCTCGACCCAGCCTGGACGCCTCTCTGCGGCGCCTGTCTGATAATGCCAGTCCCTTCTTGGACGACGAGCAAGCCCGTCCTCAGCCCCAAGTCCTCAGTCCTCAATCGTGATTCCTCACTTCTTCTCTTGACCAGCCCTCCGCCCTCCACGGTCCAAAACCCCTCCCGCACCTTCTGCCCTCTGCGCCACAACTATCATACAGACATCACAACATTTCCCTAGCGGAAGGTCGTGCGACCCAAGATGTGCTCCTATGGCTTGAGGGGCAGCCAATAGGACACGTCTCGCTCCGTCAAGGGGTGAGGGGCTTCAAGCTTTCACGGCTGAGTCTTGTTGCGGGCGGCTAGGTAATGAGTGTCGACTACTGCTGCTAGGTACCCATGCATGGCAGTCTGACATTGGACTTGGCACATGCTTTTTTCCTATTCCGCCCCATCACTGCCGACCGTCCCTACAGTGCTGTGTTTCTTCAGGACCGACCGGACAGGTTGTTCGCATGTACCTAGTCTATGCTAGACCATGTCCGCATTTATTAGACTGCGCGAAGCGAGGTGGTTCGTGCTAGCTGACCTTTGGGGCCGAGTGCCTCCCTTCCTGCCCCTCTCTCCCCCCCCCCCCCCGCGCCTCTTGCGCACTCCGCCCACTCTTGCAACACCCAGATACAAAGTAACGCCCAGAACTCAGAAAGGAGACGGGTATTGGTTCAATAGACTCCAGACACTGTCGTTCCCAAAGTCACCCCCGAAAAGCCAAGGCTGCGACTCCCCTCCCCCGCCAGGAACATCGTTCAGCAGCGGTGTCCCACCGGCCCAATTTGGCAACGACGATGATGTCGCTTCCCCGACATTGCTGCTGATCCCCATGAGGTCATTGTAAGCAACGTCAGCCATCGCGTACACGGGCTGTATGGAGCTCCAGTGGAATCCCTCAGGCAGCGTCCAGTCACTGGCTGCCATGCCCGAGAGCCCAGGGTCGATGGGCGGACCAACTGACGGGCCCGACATAGACCCGAACGGGTCGCCTGAGCTACCAGAAGTCGTAGAAGCAGCCGGCGTGAGGATACTATTCCTGCTGCTGTCGCCGCCTCCTGCCATTGTAGAAAACGGTGACATTGCCTCGCCGTTCGGGGCCGATGGGGCTGACGGTGCCGTCTCTTGAGGCAGCTGCTCGAGGCCGTCTCCTTCCGGCTTCTGCGTGCACTTGACAGCGCTCTTGAGCCGCATATATACAGCTTTGAGCACGTTCCGCGCTGCAGCGGCCAGCTTGTTCCTCTCGGACATGGTTTCGAATCGCTCCATGGCCCACTGGAAATGCTGGAGCGCCGTGGACACATACTCGACGTTCTCCTTGGGGAACAGTATGAATATGCTCGCCATGAGCACAACGGCATCGAATGTGCCGAAGAACAATGTGAAACTGTTGCAGAAACGGGGTGTGAGCAGACGACTTCGCCATTGTAACCTGACTGGACAGTTGCTTACGCTTTGTAGTGCTTCGGCCCAATGCTCGCAAAGTGGTCCCTCTGGGACACCAGCATCCTCAAGCTTGCCTTGAGCGCTTCCTTCCGGCTGTACGGCCTCGTGAAAACATATGGTCTGTGGAGAGCCATCTTGTTGAATGACAAAAGGAGGGGCACAGTGCCTCGGACCAAAGGCACCCAGAAGCACTCTGGCAGGTCGTCATACCTCGTGTCCGGGTTCTCGGTGCGGAAGAACGCTGGTGTTTGAGCTTCTAGCTCCTCAAGACTCTGGTGGACCTTGTCTACTTTGTCAAAGTCTTTTGGGCAGGGTCCATCCTTCTCTAGCTCGATGATGTCTCTCAGGGCCATGGTGGTCCGGTATACCCAAAGTGTCCTTGTCAGGGGCGACGGAGGGTCATGTTCTGAGCGCAAAGTCACGGGCACTTTGCTTGGGTCCTTCGGCGTAGGCGCGTCGAGAGGCAGCGTATACCTGAAACTTGTGTCGATGCTCGTTGGGCGGCCGAGGACGATAGCAGTGTGCACATCCCAGCTCATGAGGATGATCCAGGTCTTCCGCCTTCGCTGTATCTCCCATTGGTTCTCTAGAACATCCTCCAGCTTATCGCTCTTTGGCTTAGGATCGAGGCTCGTACGGTGCAGTCCGCATTCTTGTCCATCTCTTATCGCGGATCCTATTGCATGCCTGCAAATGCGTTAGTAGAGTGTCGGGGAAAGATTGCTTTCCTGTCTACAGCTTGAAGAGCTCGCAATCCAGATCAAGTTCTGGACGGGATAAATATCACAGTCCTAAACTTTTGGATGACCTGAGCAATGAGAGCCACCCAGCGCCTGAGCACAGATCGCACGAGCAGAATGGTGACGAGGGCCTGAAACAGTACTGACCATGCCTCGGTGACGAGTCCGGAATACTTCAAAAAGGCAGCTCTGACAAAACCAGCGATGACAGCCGTGTGAGAAACCTGTCTCTTGCCCAGCACTGATATAATCGCCACCCCAGATTCGGAATAGTCGAGAGCCAGGTCCTCAAAGGTCATGCTCCCAGCGTACTTCAAAGAGTCGAAAGTCGGATCTGGACCAGGAGGAAGATTCAGAAGGGCCGTAGCGATCATCTGAAAGACAAGAGCTGGGAAGGCCCTGAGATCGGGCGGGAGCGCTTGCGGGCCTTCTGCATTCAACACGGTGAAGGGAAGGCTAAACCACTCAGTCATCTGCTTGTTAAACACCCACTGATCGACTGCCTAGAATAGCTCAGTATGTCGCGTGTTATCGTATCGGGGCTACTTAAACTCACATTGTACTGCCAGTTGAAATCCTTGAAGTATATATCCACCAGCTTCTCAGTATATGACCTCGCCGGCAACTGGCGGATAAGGCTCTTGTACCTCTCTCTCGTCCCGAAGTGCTCGACGCTGTTCTCACGGCCCATGGCCATGCTTGACAGTGAGGACTCATCAGCGTTCGTCCCGTCGATCTTGCTCAGGAACCCCAGCGTCGACGACGACCCCGTAGACGAGTATCCGAAGTTGGTCAGCTTGTCTGACATGCCCGGCCCCGCCCCGACCTCCGCCTTGAATCGAGGGTCGCTCAGGTGGCTGCCATTGTGAGCAAGCCGCTCGTCGCCCTGCGTATGGTGCACGGCCTTCGCAGTAGGTGCTCCCGACTCATACCGGCACGAGTCTTGCTTGTTCCGTGACACGCAATTCGCACAGGGCAAGCTTCGGTCGCACTTTTGCTTCCTGCGGTGGCACTCTGTGCAGGAAATTATGAGGCGCCTTCTCTTCCTGGGAGGCGGCCTTGCGGGGCCAGGGTCACCTTCCTGTTGCTCAGGACCCCCGGACGAGGGAGTCGATGCGGGAGACAATTCGTCCTCCGCTGTCATTCTGTCGCCGCTTAAGCCACTGAGTAATGCATATAAGTTGAAAGCAACTTGAATTGAAGGGCCACGTCCGAGAGAGGGTGCAGGAGGGGAGATAGGAAGGAGATCAGTATGAGAGGTTGCGGGTTTAGTCAGCCTAGCTTCGGGACTTAACTCCAGTAACTCCGGCGCATTTTGGCGCGGAGGAATGGGGTGACCCTCATCCTCGAATCGCATCCAATGGAGCTACACTGTGGTCTGTGGCCATCTGAGTAGTCTATCTGGTAGACTAATGCTCGAGCAGATTCACGCAAGACCTATTTCGTTCTTGAGATTGGTAGATGCTACGCTAAAGGTACAGTCTATGATACATTGAGACGAACGCGATCAAATCACTCAACCCAGATATTCCTTCAACTCCTCCGACTCCTCCAACATGTTCTTGAAAGAGAAGGGCGTAAACGCCCACCCGTTAAATTCCGCAAACTTGGAGAAGGACTCAACCCAGGCCAACCTGAGCGAGTGAAGCATAGCGGACACTCCCTCCATGATGATGAGAATGATGACACTGAGAATGAGGAACGCGGCAAAGAAGATGACGATGGCGATCACGCCCACGACACCAGTCATGCTCAGAGCCGGCCCAATGGTCATGGACCAGAGCACGGCACTAAGCTGCTGGTGAGCCAGCGACAGTGCCCAAAGACGCAGGTACGAGGCCGTGTGGGAAACGCAGTTTAGGCAGAATTCTGTACCGGGTCAGCAATTGCGGCATGTGTGTAGCGAGTAACAAGTCATCTTACCAATGGTGTGAATGATCTGGTGGATCATGACTTCACTGAATTCAAATTCTTCGTGCTCTTCCTCGTCGATGTTCTGCGTGATCATGGCGACACCTTCATCGTCGCTGTTGATGCTCGGCCTGCCGTTGATCGCATGGCCATTGTCCTCCGTCGTCGCCGTCCAGAGCACTAACGCGCTGGGTCTCTCCGAGACCGCGATAACCGTGGGCCCGAGCTTTGTTGTGCTCCCAGCGAAGGTAGAAGGGCTTGAAGAAGAGAAGAATGGGGACCTGTACCACCGCCAGGAGCAGCAGAAAGACCTGGACTCCGCTCTGTCCAGGGTACAGCTGCTCGTCGAGCGTACCAGGCTGCAGGAACATGTAAATCAACATATTCAGCAGACCCGGAGGCTGCTGTCCAATGGCGAGCCAGTCCACGGTCCACTTGTAAATGATGCAGACGACCAGGTATCCAAAAATGGACTGGAAGAAGATCATGCCGGGAATGAAGTTTCCGAATATGTCAACTGGCTTCTTGAAGTGCTTCGCGTTGATGTAGGAGAAGCAAAGCGAGTATGTCATGTGAGCCCAACCAAGGATGATACTCATCTTCATCTTGTAACTGTTCGAGAAGAGCAGATCGTTGTCGGTTCCATGCCACATCCAGTCCAGGCCGAAAGGATAGCGGTAGTCGCCCTTGAGCTTGGCACTGATTTGACGGCCTTCAACATAGTCGTCCGGAGCATCCCACTCCCATTGGCTGGGGAACAGGGTCATGGACTTGGAGAAGACGTCGTTGTAGATCAGACCCGTGAACACGGAAAAGACAGCCATGACGAGAGCAATATATCGGCCATAGTAGACCATAGCGAACAGTTCAAAAGTGACCTTCTTCAGTGGCTTCTCCCAGTAGATCATGGCCAGGGCAGCACACAACATGATGCAGGCGTGGCCGAAATCACCAAACATGACGGCAAAGAGGAAAGGGAACGTGACGATGACTGGGATGGCCGGGTTAACCTCCTGGTAAGTGGCCGTGCCGTATGCGTTGACGATGGTTTGGAATGCCTCGGTGAACTTGTTTGTCTTCAAGTAGGTTGGCGGGGTCTTGTTGGTGTGGATGACATTGATGATGGACGGGACGGACAGGCCAGCTCGGTTGTTCACGTCCTGAAGCGTGGACCTTATGAGCGGCAGATCGTTCGTAGGAGACCAGCCCTCTGCAATTAGGGTGCGCCGTGCTCTGTCGTAGGAGAACAAATTGAGCGTATTGTAGACGGACTTCTCCTTGTTGACCAGCACCATCCAAGCGGACAAAGACCTTGAGATCTGGGTCAGCTCGGCGTTGAGAGTCTGCTGGGTGTTCTGCAAGACGTTCTGAACGTCGTTTGAGCCGAGCATTGACCTCATGGATCTGATCCCTCCGGAGGTCGCTGTTCTCATCGACATTATACACCTCAGCACCCATCGACTCGGAGATCTTCCTGATCTTGGCCAGGATTTCCTTTCCGTGAGCGAAGATGACGAAGACGTTCTTGTTGACCGGCTCGTTGTTGCTGGGGTCGATCAAAGGCTCGGGAATCTCTGACTGATTCATGTACAGGTTGCCACGCAGGGTACGCCACAGGATACGCTCGAAAGCCGCAACCCGATCCCTGGAGATGACACCAGCAACGAAGCCGATGTTCAAGCCGGAAAAGGACCGCTCGACATCAAGAGCCGAGTTGTTCTGCTCGACGTCTTGCAGGAGCGGGGCATCGTCCTCGTCGGTTGAGGCTCTGATCTCTTCGACATTGCCATGGGCGCGGTCGAAGAAGCCGCCAGCCTCGCGCAGGACCCAACGCCATTCCGTCAGCTCGACCTCCCGTTTCTTGAGGGTCTCGTAGCTGTCGTTGAGCTGGAAGATGCGGTTCTCCAGGCCCTGGCTTCGCTCAGCGAGCTCATCAATCTCAGTCGTGGTTGGGGCGGCAAGGGTTTCCATGTCGAGGTCCAACTTCCTAAGGGGGATTCCGGTCTTTTCCATCTGTGCATAGAAGTATCGGAGTTGGCGTTCAACGTTATCGAGTCGTCGGATCTCTTGGGTGAATGCTCGCTGGAAGGCGCTGAGCTCGCCGTTCAACTGCATACCGAGGCAGGTTAGTCGCGGGTGCCACGGCTGGGGCTGTGGCGGCCGAGTTGCGAAGGCAGGACTGGACTCACGTCTCGGAACTGGACCAGGCCCAGCTCGCCAAGGGCGTTGACGACCTCTCTTCCGATTTCATTGGAAATGTACAGCTGCACCATGCTCATTTCCGCAGAGCGGAACGGGGTGTCGCGTGCTGGAGCCATGGTGATGGTGTTGGTGTAGCTCACGACGAGCTCTCTTTTGGTTGTCGTCAGCGACTTGGACTTGGACTTGGGTGGACGGATGGAGCTTCCAACATCGTCAGCCAATTGCTAAAATTGGCTCTGCTGGGCAGCAGGGCTGGCGCTAACTGAATGACTAAGCAGAGCGACTTGCAGTATGTTCACGGTAGACTCCATCTAACCATGGGAAATCTGAACCTGTAGCTTTAAAAGAGATTGTAAATCTGACACTTTGACTTGAAGAAAAGCCTGCACTGTTCCCAGACGAATGCTTTTTCCGACTTCCCAGTATTGTGGCATTCTACCCCGTCTTTGTTGAGTGACAGCTTCGTCCTCGTGTGTCAGTCGAACACGGGCCACGAGGACAGCGTTTGGCGGAATACTGAAGCTGACCGGACATACGCACGGTCCTTCCTCAAGACATACTGCAGGGCTCTGCAGTGCATAAGATAACAGAAGCACACAAGTTTACCTTCTAACTACATGGTCTCAGGGTATCTCGCATTTTTGCACTAGCCCAGATATATGGAGCCTCCAAAATAGACCGATGTGTCTGCGCTATTACTAGGCAGCTCCTGTTGTTCCCCATTTCGATGAAGACGACTAGACAATTCATAAGAGGTCTGTGAAGCGGCATCGCAAGCCAACAGCATAAGTCTCCGCGGAAGTCGATGCTTCGAGCCCTACTTGCGCGCGATAGTGACCGGTGACAATGAGATCCCCCGTGCCAGGAACTTCAAGTTAAGCCTAGTCTCGCCGCTCAGACGACCATTCAACCAACTGCTGCCGCCTGACCAGGTACCGTCATCGCCAGCGAATGCCAGAACATTCATTTCTGCGAGACTTTAGCACGCAGAATTGTCTCCCCATTCTCTTTTACCTCCATACTATACAATAAAGTAACGACCTATTTCTCTGCGGCCTGTATTGCCTCATCAACGCACCCTAATGACGAACAAATCGTCCAGGCTTAGCAGCGGCTAGAGACACCGCCGATCATCCGGGAGCCTCCCGATTTCGGTCTACTAGACCGGCTCGGCCACGCCAGCCCGGCAAAGACATGCCCTGAAGGGCGCACAGAGCTGGGCACCGTGCCGCGAGCCGCCGTGCCTAAAGTCAGTCTTGCCCTTGGCCTGCAGTAGTTCCTCAGTTCAGAGCTGCCGACTGGCCCCGTTTCCTCGGGTCGATGCAGGTAGGCATCTGCTGGAGGCCCAGTCTGGGAAACAGACTTTGAGACTCGTTGCCTGTTGGCTCGAGATTGGCGAGGAGGAGTGGGTGTGTGTCCACACGCCTGAGAGGTTGGGAGCGAATGTAGTTGAACGGCTGAAAGAGGCATGTTGCCTGCACTTATCGGTGGCCAGTTTCTGGGAATATGAGTGCTCGACTACATCTGAGCAGGCCCTTCACTCAGCCCATGGGAACTAGCGTTGACCCAGGCACACAGTCGACCGCGGGGTGATTGGTCATGTCATCGATGCAATGGGTATAAGTCGACAATACCCACTTTCTTGTGTGCCTTCGACTGTTCCCTCGCATTGCATAGTCCCTGCTTCAACCTCGAAATCTTCTGCTAAAACGATGCCGGCCTGCGGAGACTCGCTGAATCTGCGAAATCCGTCAAAGTCCTCAACGAGTCCTGTCGTCAGAGTCCAACCATTCCTCTTGCCTTCTTTGCTTATACCATCGCGCAACTTGAGACGGTTATCTCAAGGTGGGCGACTGCACCTAAACCACAGTACCGAGCTGTAGGATCGGCCCCCAAAAAGAATATGGACGGCTCGTCATCCCGAAGCCCAGTTGCACAAGAGCAACATTACGAGGGAGAGGATGAAGCCACGCTTCTCGGCCCCGATGGCTTTCATCAGTCTTCCAGTCCTGCAGAAGACCTCGCTCCCCTGATGTCTGACTTAGACAAAGGAATCGAAATAAGGAGTCAAGGTTCACCACAGCTCCTGAAACCGATCGGTCCATGGCGATCCTCGACCACTTCTCCGAGTGACGGGCGGCCGGCTCGATATCTTGGGGCAACCCCAACGAATACAACGGTGACTTCAAAAATACAGCAATTTTGGGAGACGAACCGCAGCTGTATGCTAGTGGTGACATCATCCGTGTTCAGCTCGGCTATGGCTCTTTTTACCAAGCTCCTCGAGCTTGGTGACGATGGCATGGATGCGTTCCAAATCCTTTTCATCCGAATGGCGGTAACAACCATATGGTGTACGTCAGTATTGTGGTGGGAAGGGAAACCTGGTTCTCTGCTGGGACCCAAGGAAGTGAGAGGGCTATTGCTCTTCAGAGGAATTTCAGGCTTCTTTGGAATCATCGGTATATGGACCGCGATAAAGTTCCTTAGTCTCGCTGACGCATCGGTGATAACCTTCTTGACACCATCAATCGTGGGATTTTACTCCGCCATCTTTCTCCGCCAGCCTTACACTCGCAAGGAACAGCTGGCATCCCTGGTAGCTTTGGCAGGTGTGGTCTTCATTGCTAGGCCTTCCTTTCTATTCGGTAACACCTCGCCGAGTAGTCCTTCATCGCCGGCCCATGACATCGTGTCGCCAGCTTCAGGCGTGGCAGACGGCGGGCCCACAACTGCACAATACTCTGTGGAAGAAAACGAGAGCGCAGCACATCGCTTGACGGGAACACTGTTTGCACTGCTGAGCGCTTTTGGTGGTGCTGGAGCATTTATCGCTATCAGGGCCATTGGTGACAGGTGCCAGGTGCTGACGACGACCAACTTCTTTGCCACGTGCTGCACTTTGATCAGCGCAACGGCGCTTGCCATTGCTCCTCTGGTGGGATACGACCAGCCTCATGTGCGGTTTGGGCTTCCGCGTGACCCAAGGCAGTGGTTTCTGGTGTCCATGATCACGGTTTGCGGCTTCCTGGCCCAGTGGTTCCTGACAGCAGGCCTGGGCAGCGAGACAAGGTCACAAAAAGCGCCAGCTATGGTATATACGGGCATGTTGTGGACTGCTGGGTTCGACCGCTTCTTTCTTGGCCAGACCATGCACTGGTCAAGTCTCCTTGGATGTGCCCTGATAGTAGGAAGTGCTGTATGGGTGGTCGCAATGCCCAAGCCTGGGAACACGCAATGTGAAGCTGGAGGAGACATAGAGAACTCTGCTGGTATAAGAGCCCAAGACACGGGTGTGATGGAGGCAGAACATGCGCAAGGGTCAGTCCAGATGCAAATTCTTCGTAATCACTGAATAGCACGTAGAACAAGAACCAGAGAAATCAGGTACAGATTGATCAGGAAAATAAGCAAAGTGTGAATCGTAGGTAAAGCATGAGCATTGACTGAGGTCTCTGTAACTAGACAAGTTCGCTCAACGCTCAGGGGTGTGATTTGAGAAGGATTGCGAGCTGACACTGCTTGTGTAATCCATGTGTAGTCTACTTTACCTGGGTTGTCACCGCCCAAGGCCCGATAGTTGACTGCAGCTAACAGCAAAGGTAGAATACGGTGGGTATATTGCACTCCTTTGCTTGTTAGTAATAGCACTATCGGTATCGAAATAACTGTTCTATATACGTTAGAGGAAAGAAAGGGATAGAAAAAAGTGGTAAGATTTGGATTACGCAAGCTTAATGCTGCTTAAGGTAAGTTTACTGCAAGTTGATAGTAATAAAGATGTGAATAGTGCAGATTTGATAATACGTCCCATTAGTAACATTGAACAGAAGTCCAAGTTATATGCATAGCAAAAACACACATTTGTGTCGACACCCCAACCACAACGCTGTGTAACGGAGCAGTAGGGTGGGACGAGGAGAACATAGTAGAGCCGGGCACTTATGGTAGTGAATGGGGGTTATGTACAGACCACACACACACGCATGTAAAGAGCCCCTTCGATAGTTGGATTCTGGCAATACGCCCACTTCCAATGCAGAAAGCCTTCACTTTGCAGAGCCCAATTATCCTTCCAGAAGCGATGAATTGTTGGGTGCACTTTTCTGGGAATCAAGGTCGAAATACGCTTCTCGGCGTCGCAGGATTACTGCTCAAAACCATGTGTTCAAGCAATTGGGATGAAGAAATCAGCAGAAACGACGACAACCATATCTCTACTTCTGATGATCCCAACACTTGTAGCAATGAGTAAGGCAATTACAGTGAGAAGGGGGAGGGTGAAGGGGGAGGGCGAAGGGGGCGGGCGTTGCCTACAACGGACCCTCTTTAAAAAAGGTGCCTTCTAGGCTTCCTTCTGGACTCAGATCGCACATCGCACACTTTCCCAGACCCAACGTTGCCTTCCACTGTTCTTTAAAGAACCTCTCTGCCCACAGTTCAGACCACTTGTAGAGGCAGACTTTCCTCATACCGGCAACACGAACCAATCCATCATCCACAGCGAGACAAACATGAAACCCTCAACCATCAACGTCCTCCTCTCCTTGGCCATCGCTATGATCGCCATAGCGACCGAGTTGCCAGATGCTATCACCTCTGCCGCCATCACCGTCACCGTGACGGAGTCAATCTGCATGGGCAGCTGTGCTGGAGAAGCTACTCCACTCTCTGTGGCCAACGCCTTGGCCACCGCCGCCGACGTTTCAGCTGCAGCTTCCCTCATCGCCAACATGATCGCTGCCCGCCCCAGTGGAGATGGCGAGGTCCATCAGCTTACTGCAAATACCACGACTGTTACGATCGCGGCCAGCGCAACTAGCTGTCCCGCCCCACCAAACTTTGACCTGAGCCCTACCGGGTCGTTCTGGAGCATCTTGGATGCCGATATCAACAGCATTACCGACAACAACTCTGATACGAACGGCACCGTGGCCCCTGCTAAGCGCTGGTCCAAAGGCCGCCAATCGCTCTGCATCACCTCGGCCTCCTTGGGTCTCGCTGGCTACTATGCAATCTACCTAGACGGCTGGGGCCAAGAAATGCAACCCTGTGGGAAAGGAGTGCTCGACAACATCCGCGGCCAATGTGGAGGTGTCGATCACTGGGGTTGTGATCATTGGGGGACCGGCTTGTTTGTGACCTTCCAGCTCCCGGCTCCATGGAGGGCCAAGTGTGCTTTGGACGGGGTGTGGCTTGCTTCGCCAAAGAACAAGAGGGAGGAGGGCCTTTGCTGCGTGTGGCTGGGTTACGGCATACATGCCAACACCTGCTAGGTTAGAGCGCATCAATGCGATGATTTGAGACTTGGGAGTTGGTCCGAATCAATTGGGGGGGGGGGGTCCGTGTCGCATTCTCTAATCAAAGTCATTCACCCCTCTTACGTGCATGGTATAACAATGGAACATACCGGATGAGGCTGAGAAGATTTTCATGAGCTGTGAGAACCACGGAGTGCATACTTGATTTTGTTGCTCCAAGTCCTAATTGAGGTCGAACCAACTCAGCATCGCCACCGCAAAAAGGCGGGTAGCAAAGGATAAGCTGGCGCGCTTCTCGCTGGAGAACATTGAGGCTCAGCTGGGAGAGAATCTGCTCTTTCTTGAAGAACATTATCACGGCGGTCAAATATTCTCCATGCAATGCTCCCGCCGACTTTGAGAAGCTGGACCACCGGATTCTTCGTTCCCAATTCATAAAGTTCCCGTTGTGGCGTTGACGATGATTTTGGTTTCCCTGGGAACTGCAGCGTGGTCCTTGTAATCATGGTGATTCTCACGACTGGAACACAGACGTTCCTTACACGCAAAATTTTTGCTTTGCAACATACTGGTCAGTTCTATTTATGCGGTCAAAATATTCCAAGTTCGACTAAAAGGACGTACATCAAGGCGCCGGGATGACTCTACAAGCTGCATAGAAAGCTCGTGTCTCCATGCGGCCCGTGCCCATGCGTTGTGCAGATCGGCCCAAAATTTGGGCAGGCTTCTGCAAGCTCCCAGCTCTTATTGCCCCAGCGCGCGGAACAGAGAGGACATCCACCCCTGGATTCCCACCCTGCTAGCCTTGCTAGCTTTCTGCATCGCCAACATCGCCAACATCACGAACAGACTCGTCCCGCTTCCTGTCTTTTCTCTCTACTGGGCACTGGGCACCTCTGCATCGTTTTCCTCTCCACCTCTCCACCTCATCCTCCCCCCACCACCTATTCCAGAGATCTCGCGAGCAAGATGGTTCAAATAAGCGAGGTCAAAAACCAGGGTCGCGACAATCGCACCTCAGCGCACACCCACATCAAAGGCCTGGGCCTGACGCTTTCTGGCACCGCCGACAAGCAAGCTGCAGGATTCGTGGGTCAGCAGACAGCACGCGAGGTGAGACATGCGATAAGGCTATGCCGTCTAGACCGGAATCATCGACTGACCTTGCAATGCGACTTGTAGGCATGCGGTGTCGTCGTCGATCTCATCAAAGCCCACAAGATGGCGGGCCGAGGCGTGTTGCTTGCAGGAGGACCTGGCACAGGCAAGACAGCCCTTGCGCTTGCCATCAGCCAAGAGCTAGGAACCAAGATACCGTTCTGCCCCATTGTTGGCAGCGAAATCTACTCGTCGGAAGTCAAGAAGACGGAGGTGCTCATGGAGAACTTCCGAAGAGCGATTGGTCTCAAGGTCCGGGAAACGAAAGAGGTGTACGAGGGCGAGGTCACTGAGCTCACACCAGAAGAGGCGGAGAACCCGCTTGGCGGCTACGGCAAGACCATCAGCACGCTTCTGATCGGCCTCAAGAGCGCAAAGGGCCAAAAGAAACTGCGGTTGGATCCAAGCATCTACGAGGCGATACAGAAGGAGCGGGTCACCGTTGGTGATGTCGTCTACATCGAGGCCAACACTGGTGCATGCAAACGCGTCGGTCGCTCTGATGCCTACGCGACCGAGTTTGACCTGGAGGCTGAGGAATACGTCCCAATCCCCAAGGGTGAGGTGCACAAGAAGAAAGAAATCGTACAAGACGTGACACTGCATGATCTCGACGTGGCAAACGCGAGGCCACAGGGTGGCCAGGATATCATGTCAATGATGGGCCAGCTGATGAAGCCGAAGATGACCGAGATTACAGACAAGCTGAGAGGGGAGATCAACAAGGTTGTCAGCAAGTACATTGACCAGGGTGTTGCGGAACTGGTCTCCGGCGTCTTGTTCATTGACGAGGTGAGTCGAACCAACTTCGTTTGCCCAGACGGCGCCAATACGAGCTGGCACTCATTCAAATCAAACCTAGGCGCACATGCTCGATGTCGAGTGTTTCACATACCTCAACAAGGCCCTGGAGTCGCCAATCTCACCAATCGTTGTGCTTGCGTCAAATCGGGGCATGGCTACGATCCGTGGTACCGATGATATTGTCGCGGCTCACGGGATCCCTCCCGACTTTTTGGCCCGTCTCCTCATCATCCCCACCACACCCTACGACGCAGAGGAGATCCAACGGATTGTACGGATCCGAAGCTCCACCGAGGGGGTCTCGATTACCGGCGCGGCCATTGACAAGATTGCGGAACACGGGGTGCGGATCAGCTTGCGGTACTGCCTGCAGCTTCTGACGCCAGCAAGGTGAGCGGCCAATGCCAGACCTCAGACATGCAGGGGACACTTGTTCAGCTAACAACGACAAAGCATCCTCGCACGAGTGAACGGTCGCACCCAGATTGACGTCCAGGATGTTGCCGAATGCGAGGACCTGTTCCTCGACGCTCGGCGCAGCGCAGCCCTGCTCAGCAGTGAGACAGGCAAGGGATATCTGCCTTGAGGGCATTTGATGTATCTGGTCCACGGACCTTTTCTGTTACGCGTCGCGCGCAGACTCGTCATATTTCTAATTTCTCCAACAAGAATCGGTGTTCAGCGATGATACAAATGGGATAGTCATGAAGGGAAAAGGCCGGTTGGGAGTCCTGAGTGCGCGTTGATTTGGTGCGGAGACAGGGTGCTGGCTGGTCGTCCGTTTGCCGTCTGGATGAGACAGCAGACCCTCTCACTCGGATCCACATTGCTCGCTGAGATAAAACTAAATGTAAGATCACGTGGATAGAGAATGGAGAAGCGTGCGGATTGCCGTATTTCGGCTGACATAGTCTTTGTTTCCAGCTTCACATTCCAGAGGCGGCCCATGGCTGCCGTACCAACCGCTGTGCATTCCGGTGGCCGTTGTCGTATTTGCAAAGCATAAAATCCGATGTCTTGTCCTGAGCAATCTATCACTTCGGCCTGCGGGGCCTGGGAGGGTCACTGCGAACGGAAATCGCAAACGCTGAACAAAGAAGTCGCTGTTGGCGCCGTTTCGCTCTCAGTAGTCTCCCGCTCCTCTCCCGAGACAAAGACTTCCCCCCATTGCGCCCAGCCGATTGCCCCATCATCACCACCACCCTGATAATGGCCGCCAGGAAAGCCAGCCATAAGGCTATTGAGAGGAAAGAGAGCTAGCCTGGTCATTGTCAGGTCGCCCATGAATTGGTGAAGAGAAGAGGGGGGCATGTCACAAAGCAGACAATCCAACAAGACCTTGGTGGTCATTTTTGCCCCTAACATGAAGTTGTGGAAGCCCATTTCCTTCTTGGACCAGGCCTCCTTCATTCGCCTTGCTCGTTGCTGAGATTCGACTGGCGGTTACCGCTCACCTCACGGGCAGCCACCACTGACCGACTCTGGCCCTTGACCGACAGAACTCACCGAACAATCCCATTTGCCCCCTGAACCTGGGTTCTGTCCAGTCGGTCTGACTTGTCTCCTGCTGCCTCCCAGCTGTTCGAATTCCTACCTCGTTTGCCCACCCAGACAGCAGGTCTTTTGCAGCAAAATGACAGACGTAGCCACCAATCCTGCCTCTTCCTCTGACCCTTCCCCTTCTCACCCACTCACTCCTCCTCATGCCCTCACTTCACCTACCGGCAGCACTCATGCCATGTCTACAAGATCCAGCAACGGTCTTGGGAGGCAGCAGCCATCATCCCAACAGCAGCAGCAGCCACAGCAGCAGCAGCCACAGCAGCAGCAGCAGCAGCAACAGCAACAGCAACAGCAGCAACAACAGCAACAACAATTTACTCAGCCTCGTTCGCCTCCGAGGGAAACCCACGGGCTCCCTGCTGTCCCCGGGCGACTGACCAGGAAACGGGCACAGTCCATCAACATTGAGGAGGCAAACCACCCCAGGCTTGACGGGCTGTCCATCCACTCCCCAGCGCTGGTGGGCACACCTCCGCCTTCAGCTACCGCGACGGATCTCATATGCATCTGCCCAGCGCCACCAAAAGTTCCAAGACCTCGCAACGGTATGTTCTATCATTAATACATAATTGTATCTCTAGCCCTTGCACCGTGGGTTCTGTTGTTGCCCTCCCGATGTTGCTGATATTTCCGTTCCCTTTCGTCTGTTCCTGAGACGCAACTCGGGCCTCATCTTCTTTGTTCTTCTGAGTCACAAGTTGCTGTGACGACCTGAGAATCTTCATTGGCTGATATGTAGCAATCTCTTGGTTTCCTTGTGAACAGCCTTCATCCTTTACCGCCAACATCACCAAGCCGGTGTGGTCCTCAAATATCCCGGCCTAGCGAACCCGGAGATCTCAAAGATCATTGGTGAGCTGTGGCGCGAGGAGACTGAGGAGGTCAAGAACTACTGGAAACGTCTTGCGGAGGAAGAAAAAGCCCGGCACCAGCGCCAGTATCCACAATACAAATACCAACCTCGCCGCGGCGGAAAAGGGGGTCCATCGGCCAGACCTGCTTCTGCGTTGGGGGAGGATCCAGGACGGTGTCCAAAGTGCCAGGGACGGTATATCGCCACGCCTAGGACGCCTTCGACACCATTCATGACGGGTAGCCACCACGGGCACCCGTTGGGCTCGTCTGCAATGCAGCCGTTCATTGCCAATAACCCGCGGGTGATTGAGCAAGTGCAACAGCACCACAGGCCCTTGATGGACATGGGCCCTCAGCATGGAGGAGACCCTCGCCGCGTGGCGTACTACCCACAGCATCAAGAGCAGCTTCGGACAATCGAGGAGACCTATGACGGCTTGCCTCCTCATATGTCAAAGAGACGGACGCAACACGACGACTACGAGGTGATGTCGCCGGCCGAGGCAAAGCGACGACGCGTTGGCGACCGAGGTCGTTCACCTGATCACTCAGTGCCCGTTTCGCAGCATCCACAACACATGCAGCAATCTATGTCATCTCCGGTCAACTATGCTGCCCACGGCTCAAGTACCCGGCGAACCTCCTCCGTCGGCAGCAGTGCCTACACTGGGACGCCCGGAAGCAGCACATTTGGCCCAGGCCCGATGGCTCCCCTTCCTCGTCCACGCATGCCCACAGGCCCGAGCGGCTTGCAGCAAGACACGACAATGATGGCTCCGCCTCCTCGCCCAAATCGACAATTCAGTACCGGTGCTCCACCGCCATCAGCTGGCCACACGTCGCGCAACAACTCCACATACGACGAGTCTCTAACACTGGCGCCTCTGCAAATCCCTACGTCTCCCACACAAGCCTCCGATGCAAGCGGCGCCCAAACACTCTCAGGTAGTGGAGCGACAGGCCTGGGAATCATGAACCAACAGGGGTTGTCAAGGGACAGCCAGGCGAGAGGCATCGAGGCCATGGTCATGAGCATCCCATACATGAACAAGCTTGATGTCTTGCGCAAGATCAGCCCCCCTCTCGGACCACCTGCACCGGGAAGTCCCTCCGCCGAGACGAGGGGACCGGTGATAGCTATTGAGGGGGCAAGTGCGGCACTGATGCGCGAGGTCATGCCCGTGATAGAGAAAGCATTGAGGCAGTCGGGGGAGTGCGAGACCAAAATCTGGACTGACTCGTCCTCAGCGAAACAAAATGACTTTTCTGGTGCTCGTAGCCCTGGAAAGAAGGGCAAGGACGACGGGGAGGATGCACAGATGAGTGGTACGCGCGACAAGGACAAGGACAACAACGAAAGCCGAAGCGGCAGTGCGAGCAGCGCCACCACTAAGAAAGATGCCAGTGGCACTGTCAATACGAGCTCCCACGCGACGGGGACCTTCAACTACCTGCAGACCATCATGGAGTGGCATTCCAAGTCAGCCGAGATCATTAAGCACATTACGACCAAGCAGATTGCCCCTGCTTCGTCTTCAAAACCCCTCCTCCCAGTCGCACTCATACCTGATGGCTTCAGCCTTACACTGTCGGACAAGTTCGCATCCACCGTCGCCATCACGGACCCCTACTCGCCCGTGGATCACTGGCAGTGGATGGCAACGCTGTGGCGAGGGATTGTGGGGCCAGACCTGGTGGTGTACATCCGAGCCTCGACGTCAGATGAACTGGCTAGGAGCGGTTCCAGTGCGGTTGAGTACCGAGCCCCTGGCATCATGATTGTGAGGGTCGACGCCGAGAAGGGGACGGTAGACGAGAAGACAGAGAGGAGGCTGGCCTTTGAGCTGATGGAGTGGGTCAGAGCGGGGAGTTTTAGAGACGGCTACTCCTTTGGAGACGAGTGAGGGGACAGGGCAAAGGGAACATGGCAGGACTGATGCTGACGACGATGGTGATGGGTGACAGGCGGTGCTCTGTCGCCCCACCCACGTGAACAAGCTATGATTGTATTTAAACTCTCTTTCCTTACTGTAGCTATTCAAGCTGAAAAACAATAGTGTTCAAATCCAGCAACAATTTGGAATCGAATCGCATTGTTTCAAAGGGCGGCCGTGGAATGTTGCACGAATTCGCGGCTCGTGTTAGTGCGCCAGGGGGTTAACCCCCGTGGCTACCCGTTATGAAACCGAAGGGCACTAACACAGTAGCTCCCGGAGCTAGGACGTCGTCCCTGCCGCTTCCAAGTGCCTGCAGTGAGCAGCAAGGAAGCCAACACCCGCGTCGGTCAGGGGACGCGACACAAGTAAACAGCTCTATGTCAGCGCCACGACTGCGACACCAACGACGACAACGACGGCGCCCACTCCGCGAAATGCCCATCCGACGATAGAAAACTCACGACGAGCACCGCCCTCCCTCCGGTCAAAATGACAGAACTGGTACCAGGGCAGGTCATCCGCCTGGCCGATGGCCGCAGTGCCGTCGTCCGCTTCGTCGGCGAGACGGCCTTCGCGCCCGGCGTCTGGGTCGGCGTCGAGCTGGACGACGGCTCGGGCAAGAATGATGGCAGCGTCCAGGGCGAGCGGTATTTCGACTGTGACATGGGCAACGGCATGTTCGTGCGGCCCGCCGCCGTCGCTGTTGTTGCCCAGCCCCCGCCGAAACCAAAGCCTGCCGCAACAGCCACAAGGAAGACAAGCACCTCGAGGCCGAGCAGCATGTTCACTTCGGGGTCGAGGACTGCGAGCACCTCTCTTGATACTGGCGTGGGAAGGAGGAAGAGCCTGAATGCCCCCAGCCCTAGTCCGGGTCCGAGGACGTCACGCCCTTCTAGCATTGCAAGAGTGAGGATCCTGTCCCCAGGCTGTTGTGTCCTATTGCTTCTGTCGATGCTGATTTCGAATTACACTGCAGTCGCCTACCAAGTCCCCTACAAAGCAGCTCGGAACCGCCTCGTCAAGCGCGGCCACCTCCCGCACCGGCACCCCTGCGAATGCACGAGGGACTACAACTACCAAAGCACGAGCCGCTTCAGCTACGACGAGATCATCTATGGGCCCTCCCGCTGTTCCCGCATCCCGAGTAGGCCGCCAAGCATCAGTCTCGTCTGCAGGAGCCTCCCGGCCCACCACCACAGCAAGGACTGCGAGCAGTCGGCTATCTCTGACCACAGGCAAAGCCCGGCCCGAGGCCTCAAAACGAGGCTCTCCAGGCTCACAGTCCGGGGCGGAAAAGCGGAGCTCTATCGACAGGGGTGCCGCGTCACAGAGGGCTAGCAGCGATGAAGATTCCCCGTCACAGCAGAGGAACCCAGCATTAGAGAATCTTAGTGGCTCAGCAGAGACTGACCCTGCAAGAAAGGTGTCGAGGCCCACGACACAGGCTCTTCAGGCCTCCAACCGGGAAATTGAAGACTTGAAGGCAAAGCTGAGGGTCATGGAAAGGAAACGCATGGAAGATCGAGACAAGCTCAAGAATCTGGACAAGGTCCAGGGCGAACGGGACAAATTTGAAGGGATCATACAGAAGCTTCAGGCCAAGTATGCACCGCAGCAGCAGGAAAACACGGAACTTAGGAAGATGCTCAAGGAAGCAGAAGAAAGGCTGAATTCGGTCGAGACTATGCAGGCTGAGCATGAGACGACGCTAGAGCTGGCGACTCTGGATCGTGAGATGGCCGAGGAGACTGCCGAGGTGCTGAAGGCCGAAGTTGAGGCGTTGAAAGAAAAGGCCGAGGAGCTCGAGCTCGAACTCGACATCCTGAGAGAGGAAAACTCCGAGTACACCAAGGGCATGTCACCAGAAGAGAAGGCCAGCACAAACTGGATACAGATGGAGAGGAACAATGAGCGATTACGTGATGCTCTCATCCGCCTGCGGGATATCACGCAGCAGCAGGAAGAAGAGTTTCGGGACCAGATCAAGAGTCTTGAAGAGGACGTCACGGAACTCGCCACTGTCAAAGAGCAGCACGAGGCCGCAAAGGGCAAACTCGCGCAAGCTGAGGCGATGGTCGAGGATCTTCGGCAACAGCTTGACACGGCCCTTGGCGCTGAAGACATGATTGAGGATCTTACGGAGCGCAACATGAGTCAGGCCGAGCAGCTTGAAGAACTCAAGGCCATCATCGACGACCTCGAAAATCTCAAGGAAGTTAATGACGAGCTTGAGATCAACCATGTTCAGAATGAGAAGGAACTACAAGAGGAGATCGACTTCAAAGACAGCGTCATCACAGAGCAGGCGAGACGCGCTGCGGAACAGGAGACCATGATGGAGGATATGGAGTACACCCTCTCTAGGTTCCGCGAGCTCGTTACCAATCTACAGAGCGACCTGCAAGACATGAAGGCATCGCAAGCTGTGTCGGACACGGAGTCAGAGAAGCTGAACAGCCGATCGAGAGCCATGGAGGACCTGACGATGAGGCTGCAAATCTCCGCCGAGAAGGCACAAGCAAAGACAATTGACCTCGAGCTGCGGCGCTTGGAGGCCCAAGAAGCAGAGCAACATCTGGAGATAGTGAAGATGTTCTTGCCCGACAGCTACCAGAGTGATCGTGACTCTGTCCTGGCCCTCCTGCGATTCAGGAGGCTGGCGTTCAAGGCGAACTTGCTGCACCAGTTCATCCAGGAGAGAGTCAAGGGCCATGCGCACCCTGGTCATGAGGACGATGTTCTGTCTGGCTGCGATGCAATGGACAAGCTCACGTGGGTGTCGTCGATGTGCGAGAGGTTCGTCAACTCCATCAGCCACTGCTCGCTTGAGCAGTTTGCCAAGTATGCGGGTGCGCTGTATGAGCTTGAGCCCGTGGAGAGAGCCTTGAACCAATGGATCGAGGGTCTGAAGAAGGACGAGCTGAAGGAGAAGCAATGTGCAAGCGAGCTGCAACGCACCATTGCCCTCATGACGCATCTTGGAGAAGTCCACATCTCAAGCGACCTTGAGAGCTTTGCAGACGATGTTTACATGAAGACATTGATGATGCAGAGCCACCTCGAATCCGCTGCTACTACCTTTACCACGCTGCAAACTATGGTGCAGCGCATTATTCCTTCGGCGAGCGAGGAGGATGAAGTCGCACAATATTTTATCAGGAAGGCAGATGCTGTCGTCACACAGACTCGCAGCACCAAGGTCATCTCGGGTAGAACTGTTAAGGCGCTTGAGGACTTGAGGTTGCGGTCCCTCGCGTTGCCGCATGAGACTCAGGAAGTCTTCCAGCGATGTGAAGAGGTGTCACAAGAAATCGCAGAACTTGCCCGCCGAATTGGACTAGACCTTCATCAGCTGTTGCACGAGGAGGGCCGAACAGAGCCATACACATGGCTGGAGGTGCAGGACCGCGTGCGAAAGACCGTCTTTGCGGTGGCAAGCTCGGACGAGTCCGATCTCTTCGCGACATACCTGAACAAGCTCCGCACACTCACCAGCGAGATCAGCGACCTCTCGCAGCTTGCATCGGACTTCACGCAGACCCAGGAGTTCGAGCGCAGTCCGGCGCCCTGGATCCTACGCTCTCAGGAACTTCGAGCGGTCAAAACCGTCCCTGTCGACGCCGAAGAGGAGCTCCGACACCTCAAAGAGGAATACAATGAGGCCCGCCGCGCCATCGCGCAGCGTGAGGAGAGCCTCAGCACGGCGACGCTCAAGATCGAGACCCTGGAGTCGCGCATGCGTGACGCGACCGCCAAGGCGAACAGGATCACGGACCTGGAGCTCCAGATCGAGAAGTCAGGTGGCAACGTCGCATCGCTGAAGGAGGACATCGAGAAGCAGGACCGCGAGCTGAAGACGCTCGAGGCAGACAGGGACAAGTGGAAGAAGATCGCGGGCGACTCGCGCGCGTTCAGCGAGGCAGCGGCTGGCACGAAGGCAGGCAAGGAGATGGCGGTCGCGACGGCACGCGAGATGGACACGCTCAAGGAGGAGATCACCAGCCTGCAGTCGGCGGTGAGGTACCTCCGGGAGGACAACAGGCGGGCGAGGCTCACGGAGCAGGGCGGGCACGACTGGCTGTCCGAGCCGGTGAAGAGGCCGGCGCCGGTGCACGAGCAGCGCAGGAAGCTGGTGGTGGCGGAGGGCAGGGACGTGCTGGGCGAGCTGGTCCGGATGGCCACCGAGGCCAAGGTGTACGACCTGGGCAAGCTGCCTGCGGACAAGCTGGCGTGGAAGAGCGCGAAGAGCACGCCGCAGTACCACGCCGCCAAGCAAATGGAGGACCTCGCAGCCTGGCAGAGCTGGCGCGACAGCGTCGCCCGCAAGGGTCAGGTCCTGTCCGGCCAGCAGCAGCACTCGCAGCAGCGCCGGGACAAGGATGGGGTGTCCCTCAGGAAGGCGAGGAACGCCGCGGCCGCGAGGCTGCACATCCGCCTGCCGGACGGCCAGGGGAAGGTGGCGCCTGGTGGCGGCGGGGTCCACGACGTGCGCATTGTGGGCTCGAGGGAGTGGGATGGCCTGCAGGGTCGGTTGGCTGCGATCTAGAGCGATTGATGTACCTGCGGCACCAGCAGAGCATATAGAGAGATACCATTGTGATATGAATTTGCTTTCTCTTCTCATCCTACCACCCCCACCGTGCCTTTTCGACCTTGTGGTATTGAGAGGTCTTGCGCGGTCTTGCATTCGTGGCAAGGAAGTGTGCACCGGATCAGAATAAAACGTCAAGTGGCGGACCGTCGTTCGCATCGACGTTGATCGTGCCGTCACACTCAAAAGTGCTCCTAAGTGGCAATGGGTGAGTGAAGACTAAATGAAGCATACCAGCCATTTGGAGTTGGCATTTGGTATAAGCAGGCCACTGGTTGTAGCCAAGCCCCCTTGACTAAAAGTCAAATACAAGAGATAAGAAAGCTACTGGGCTTGAAAAAGTTTCCTCTTTTCGTCATCAATCACCCAGGCATATCACGACGACGAGCTCAGTCCTTCGAGTCCAGGTTTTCGGTAGTCCAGCAGGTACACAAAGTAAGAGAGACTCAAGTGTTAACAACAACCAAGCCGTTCTACCCTGGATTATAGATTGTGATGGTAATCACAATGAGTGTTCTTATTCTGGCTATACAATAAAGTGCACTATATTCTCCTCCTGCCCCAAATTCCACAGTAGATTATCCTCACCTATGCCATCCTGTAGTCTTCAAGATGCTCTCATACTACGCCTCAGAACCATCCGCCCTGGCCGAGTCTGTCCGCCTATGACGCTGCGACAGACTTCTCCTCGGTCTCGGCTCTCTTGCCTCCCTGGCCATTGGCCGCTCCTCCATTGACGCCAGACTCACTGCTCGTCTCCGAGGAAACATGCTTTGGCTTCATGAAGGGCCAGTGGCCCTTGACCTCTTTGAACCTCATCACAATGAAGCTGGCGATGACGAAGATCCAGTAGACGTTGTACGCGACGACGGAGCCGTATGTGCCGGTGTTGTTCCAGCCCAGGATGGCGTTGAAGATACCCCAGCCTCCTCCGCCGTTGAACTCAGGGCTACAGCACTGTAACTTTGGTCAGAATTTGAGAAGGCTGAGCATCATGCGCGCTGTATCAGACTCACGTTAACATGCCATACGGCCTTGTCGACGTCGTAAGAGCCAGGGCCGACTCCGAGTTCAGCTGCATCACCTCCGACAATGTTGTTCCTGGTTCGATGTTAGTGATACCGTCCCCATATCATGGAGGTATCTGACACCAGTTGACTTGGGTAGGAAAATATCGTGCTTAAATTACTTGCCACTTCTGTTGTTCAAAGTAACCGACAGCTCGGGAGAACAGGCCAGCTGCGACAAGGTATAGCAAGCAGGTCGAGACTACGAGAAAGAGTTGCATCTTGGCCGAAGATCCGGACCTGCGGGGAGAATGTCAGCTGCTTGGTAACTCAAGGGAGAAGATTGCGAGGTTTGACTTACTTGTACAGAATATACCCTACAAGAATACCTACCAGCAGCCCAACAACAGCAGGCAACGGGAAGGCAGTGGCCGGCGCAGAGAACGACACACCAGCCACGAAGATGATGGCCTCGATGCCCTCGCGCAGGACGGTGATGAAAGGGAGGATGAACAAGGCGTACTTCTCGGAGAAGTTCTTGAGCCATCCGAAGCGGGTGCCCGTCTTGACCACGGGCCCCTCGAGGGCGGCGGCCAGCTTGACGCGCCACTTCTCCTGCATCTTGGAGATGCGCAGGAGGGCTGCGCCGACGAGGGTGATGATGATGGCTGCGAACAATGCGAAGGCGCCCTCATAGTAAAGCTCGCTGGTTTCCCAGTTGTTGACGCCGACGGTGTAGAAGGTTCCAATGACGGCGGCTGCTACTACCAGGCAGATGAAGAAGCCGAGGCCGGTTCCTGCCCAGACCTATTTACACGAGACAGAGTTAGAGACGTGCACGCCTTGTGCGCATTGTCGCGATCGGGCTCACCTGGCGCCGGAGCTTCTTGTAGACCTTGACATCTCGCTCAGGGCCGTCGAGGGTCTGTTTGAGCCACGCGAGGAGCACGGAGACAATGATGACGGTCTCGAGGGTCTCACGGAAGACGACGAGGAAGACGGGGACGGCGAAGACTTGGGGAGCCATGTTGGCGGCTGTTGGTTTGCAGGTGTCTGGGTTGGGACAGGAGGACACGAGGGAGGAACGACAATGGGGACGAGGATGCCGGACAAGACACCATTACACGGGCACAGTCGGAGTGAGACCGGGCGCCGGCAAGGGGTCCAGCTAAGCAGCAGAGTGGGCTTGAGGAGGTTTGGGTGGTTTGCCCCTGTCCACGGCTGGCCACTTCTGATCAATCTTATCAGATAATCGTTATGTGAGACGGGCGGTGGGGGGAATGATTCCTAAAAGCAGGCTGTCCAGGGATTCGGATTCACCAAAGTGAGCAGATGCATGCTCGACCAAGTTGACCGACCAGCCAGCCTGGTCGACGCCTCGCCAGCGATCTGTGCCCTGCAGGTTTGTAACATTGGACGAATCAGGATCTGCACATCCATTCCCGACCTGCAGGGTGTACCGAATGGTGGTAGTGGTGGGTGGGGAGTCTCGCTCTCGCTGAGAACCGTCCATCGAACAGGGGGAACTGTGTGGGTGGGCAAAGCATGACAAAGAACGCACAAGGTATCACGCAGTCTACTGCCCAAGTGGTCGTGTTGTTCGCCGGTCTTGAACGTCGGCCCAATGGCGTGTAAGAGGAGCAGCAGGGGGCCCGCTAGCACCCCTGCTCCCCACTGTCCAAGCACCCTGTTAGCCTGTAGCTCAGCCCGTCAAAAGCTTAATTTCCGGGTCAAGATCCTTCAACTCAGGGCAGGTGGGAAACGAGCATCGGCACCTCCATCCACTGCGACAGAGTCATTCAAAGCAGGACCGGGTGTGTATAAGTCGTACGATGCAAGCCAGAAGCAGAAGCTGACCCCGCAGGACGTGCCATGATCTTCCGTGGGCTGGCTAACAACAACAAAACTCTGCGCCGTTGATCTTTTAGCCCCGACACTTGTTTTTGAGTCCCATGCGCGGAGCAGGGTCCTCCCAACTGCCTTATCAGATCAGATTCAAAACACCTCCCTGCCGAATCTTATCTGATCCGTCCCCCCCACCCCCACCCAGCCACTCACCGCATCGTCCCGTTTCCATTCGGCCTGGGACAGCAACTACCTCTACACAGTAGCCAGCATTCCTCAGGCCGCCGTTGCCATTAGCCTCACCACCCCTTTGGCTCGTCCTCGCCGCTTCTTACCTGCTGATGCATCGAGCTGATGCCGCAGCGCTAACTAACAACAGGCCGGCGTGCCACCCTCGGCGACGAGGGGCAGACCTCGCCGAGCAGCCAAAAAAAAAAAAAAAAAAAAAAAAAAAAAAAAAAAAAAAAAAAAGGTCACGTCACAGCGGAGACCCACTCCAGCCAAGATGGCTAGTCAAACAAGCTCATGGCATGGGCGACAAGCTTCGCTCCATGTAACAATCTCTGCGGGCTCCAGCCTGTTCTGGCAGCCCCGTCGCCCCCCTCCCACCCCTACCAGTGGATCACCGTCGCATCGGACCCCCATGCGCTTAAACCTTCCCTCGTTGACGGACATGCCCCTTGGCTTCACCACCCTTGGCCATCAGCTCGCTCGTTTTCCTGGCCCGCCCTTCGCATTCTCTGTCTGGGCGCCTTCTGGCTGAGCGACCATCGGCGGGTGGGAATCGGGAATCCTGACCGGTTTTGAGACTTTGGTCCTACACACGAGTGTCTACCTAGGTACTTCACTACTACTATAGGCCACACCACCGCCCCGGGGCCTGACCATGACTATTTCTGATTTTGATTTTGATTGATAAGATAATCTCAGCTCCTTGAGCCCGGTTACAAGCGCCCTTGCTGCATCTGGCTACCCGCCTCCCGCAGCCGTGTCCCTCGGTTTTGTGCGAGCTGACCTCTGCCTCTTTGCCCGTCCATTGTTCTCTTGGGCTGCATCTGGGTGCACTTTCGTACACAACACCAGTAATCCCAAGGTTGCCTACCTCAAATCGACCTCAGCCTCTCCATTTCATTTCCTGACATGTGCTGTGCTGTGCTGTCCGGAACCTGGATTAGGGCATTCAAATTTGTCTTGGCCAGCAGCATGGCCTTCTCAACTCCTTCACGTGTGCTTCTACCGGCACTCTTCTCCCTCTTTGCTGTAGTACAAGCAGCTACCGTCACATACGACTTCGAGGTCGGGTGGGTTACCGCAAACCCAGATGGCGCTTTTGACCGTCCCACCATTGGCATCAACGGACAGTGGCCTATCCCCCAGATCACAGCAAATGTCGGTGATCAGGTTGTCGTCAATGTCCTGAACTCGCTGGGGAACCAGTCAACGTCGCTGCACTTCCATGGGCTTTACATGTAAGACAAATCCCGCAATTTCGAGGAGCCTGGACATCACCTAGTGCCGTGCTGACCACAAGCCCTCCCACAGGAATGGCACAACGCACATGGACGGCCCTGTAGGTGTGACACAATGCCCAATCCAACCGGGCTCCAGGTTCACCTACAACTTCACAATCAACCAACCAGGCACGTATTGGTACCACTCCCACGTGAGAGGCCAGTACCCCGACGGCCTGCGCGGCCCACTGATCGTCCACGACCGGGACTCTCCGTTCAGCGGGCAGTACGACGAGGAACTCGTCCTTACCGTCTCCGACTGGTACCACGACGAAATGCCCGGTTTGATCGAGGGTTTCATCAGCAAGGACAACCCTACCGGTGCGGAACCAGTCCCCAAGAATGCCCTCCTCAACGAGACACAGAACCTCACCGTCTCCGTCGAGCCGGGCAAGACGTATCTGTTCCGCATGGTCAACATGGGGGCCTTTGCGGGGCAGTACGTCTGGTTCGAGGGCCACAACATATCGATCGTGGAAGTCGACGGCATCTACACGCAGCCTGCGGTGGCCGACAGGATATATCTCTCCGCTGCGCAGAGGTGCAGCTTCCTGCTGACGACGAGGAACGACACCAGCGCGAATTTCCCATTTGTGGCAAGCATGGATACCGTGAGTCTCTTTGGTCTTCCATCTATCTTTCCAGGGGTCACACAGGACTAATTCTCCTCCCAGGACCTCTTCGACACCCTGCCCGACGACTTGAACTGGAACGTCACCGGGTGGCTGTCGTACGACAGTTCAAAGCCGATGCCCGAACCAGCGTTGGTGGATGAGTTTAACGAATTTGACGACTACACTCTAGTACCGTACGACAACCAAACAATCCTTGGCACTCCAGATCATCAGATCGAGCTGGAAGTCATCATGGACAACCTCGGAGACGGGGCGAACTAGTAAGTCTACTCGATCAGACACATCCCGACAACTCCCAACACTAACGTGATTCCAGCGCCTTCTTCAACAACATCACATACAAGGCCCCCAAGGTCCCAACACTGTACACGGCCCTCTCATCCGGCGAGACGGCCAACAACGCCTTTGTCTACGGCAGCCACACGCACAGCTTCGTCCTGCAGAAGGGCGAGGTCGTCCAGCTCGTGGTGGACAACGCCGACACGGGCAAGCACCCCTTCCACCTGCACGGGCACGCCTTCCAGGCGGTGTGGCGGTCCGCCGAGGACGTGGGCGCCTTCGCCGACTCCAACGCCACCGAGGCCGACTTCTCGCCCGTCCCGATGCGCAGGGACACCTTCGTGCTGCCCCCGCAGGGCAACATCGTGCTGCGCTTCCGCGCCGACAACCCCGGCGTCTGGCTGTTCCACTGCCACATCGAGTGGCACGTCGAGTCCGGGCTCATCGCCACCATGGTCGAGGCGCCGCTCGACCTGCAGCAGACGCTCACCGTCCCGCAGGGGCATTATGATGCCTGTGCCGCCGCGTCGCCCGCCATGCCCACGACCGGGAACGCGGCCGGCAATACGGTCGATCTCCTGAACCTCAAGGGCGAGCCATCGCCGCCCGCGAGGCTGCCGGACGGGTTCACCGCCAGGGGCATCGTGGCCCTGGTCTTCAGCTGTATCAGTGGCGTCCTGGGCGTCGCCGTCGTGGCGTGGTACGGTCTCTCGGGTGACCCTGCGGCGGCGGCGAAGACTGCGGGCACCTCGGGTGTGTTCCAGCAGGGCGCTGGACACGACACTGCCGCAAACGGCAATGGAACTCGTGTTGAGGAGGTTACTGCTGTGTCTGGTGGTGGCGGCACCGGGGCTGGGAAGAGATGATGAAGGGGGGGGGGTACCGAGGTCTTTGAACCTTTAATTACTGATGAATGAGAGCGTTGTGCACCGTGGTTGGATACTGTCTTTCTGATCGAAGATGTGAGCATACTCTTGAGACCTAGGTCGTGGTGAATTGAACATAGCAAACCAGTTTTATATGCTACAGTGCTTTCCCACAACACTTGCTCTACATAATCACAGGCTGGACTCCAAATACGAGTACAGCTTCCACACCAGTTATGTATTCTAATTCGAGGTCATTCGGTGGGTTTTGGGACTCCAGCCTTTAGGCCCGAACTGTAGCATCCCATCTGCTAGTCTTCTGATACAATACGAGGCGAACAGAAGGAATTACACTCAAGTACACCGGCGACGCCCCCGCGAACATCCCGCACTAAGGAGGAGGGAAGAAGTAATAGTACCGTTAAGAGAAACCCGTTTGCTAAAGCCTAAGCCTTCTTTCACAATGTGCTTCCGAGCAGAAGAAACGAAAAGTAAAACAAAGATAACAGACCAAGAAAGAAGAGAGCAGCCCCCTCAGTAACAGTTGACGTTGTCCGGGACCATGACGCCGCCTTTGCACACGGGGTTGACGCCCCAGCCTTCGGCGCGGTCGGGCCTGATGTTGACGGGGTCGCGGCAGTTCCCGTACCCGACAGCGATGTTGAAGTTGACACCCATCGCTTGGAAGAACTTCTGCCCGGACTGGCCCCTGTTGTACGAGGACAGGCCGGAGTAGTCATCCCGGCAGCAGTTGTCATAGATACACTTGACGCCCTTGGCAATCATTGAGCCACTGAGCGGTATCTCATGGCTGCCGTCCTGCACCCGAAAACATACGTTGTCAGTCTCTTGTTGGGGCTCTTTTCCCGCGTTTGCATTGAAAATCGGGAGGAGGAGGAGGAGGGAAAAAGGGGAGAGAGGGGAGATCGGGAGGGTTGAATGTTGGTGCGAAGAAGGGGCCACGGGATTACACATACGTTACAGACGTAGATTCCGGTTGTATCGTCGCAGTGCACCCTGTTGCACTCGCCGGGCTTGATGTTGAACATCTGGTCCTTAAGTTTCCCGGACAGATCCCTCTCAAGCGCCGAGACGGTGTCCTTGTCCCCGGACCCGAAGATGCCACAGTGCAGGGTCCCATCCGTGGAGACCTGTTTGTTGGAGCGCTCATCCAAATTCGTGTCGCTCGGGGCGACGCCTGCCGCGGCGCTGCCCAGGAGGCAGGCGAGGAGGAGGGACGCGTAGTGAACCATGCTGGTGGATGCTGTGCTTGTGAGGTAAACTTAGGACTGTTCGGATTAAAACGAGCCGTGGTTGGTAGATGTTGAGTATATTGAGGAGCGTTGTTTGATGTGATCTCTTACACAGAAGTGTGTAGAGCCAACAGGAGCCCTTTCTGACGAGGGATGCCGCTCGCACCCCCATATATACGCTCTGGCAGCTGCGGGAGCGTCACTCAAAGAGCCCTCATGACAGCGGAAACATCCAAAGCGAGCGTCTTGTCCGTTTGTCCCATCCTCCGCGCATATGATGGCTCCATTCCGCTGTGCTGGTGCGCCCCATACTTGGCCCACGGCCGTGGCAAGGCGCCTCAGCCTTCCGGCCTTTTCGGAAAGCCCTGTTATCTCAGCGGCAGGGCCTCATTGAGATGACTTGGCGATCATCGCCCTTGATGTTTTGTCAGGCGTGGGCGTTGCCGGGCGCAGGATATGTGACTGCGTTGTTGCGGGACGCATAATATCAAGAGCAAGGCGGACAATACCAAGACGTCCGAGGGCGCGTCTTACATACCTCCGGGTGACACTGGAAGAGCGCCGGCGCGAGAGTTGTCGAAATCAAAGGCGCGGCTCGGTCGATTTTCGACAATCGACTGTCGAGGTTTGAGGCAAACTGGCCGGCACCGTACTCGACGACTCGACGTTTTTCGGGTTGCTCTCATGAGAGCAACTTGGCTGTGGCCCACCAAACCCTTTGAACAGGCATCACCACGAATGGCACGACCAATCATACCTGAGCCGCGCTTTGATTATCTTGCTGCTCTTCTCTCCTTCTCGACAACTCCTCGTGCACCGCGATTTCTGGCCTAGTCCCAATAAATAGCAATAGGAGCCGAATCACCAGCGAGCTCCAACGCGCGCAATGCAAAGCGACATCCAAGAAACAACTGCTCCGATGGCCATTAGAACGTCGCTTGATCCGGCCTCCAATCCCTCACATAAAAGACACCGGGAACAACTGGCTTCAGTCTTCTAAAGTAGCCGTCGATCCTGCCCAAACTCCTTTGCTGTGCTGCGAACCTCCTTGCGGCACAGTCCAACCTGACCGTCCTCTTCCGAAAAGTCTTGAACCGTTTTGTACAAAGAAAAATACAACACTGAGAAGCATATCCACCAGACTTCTAGCAGTCTGGTACTTCCAGGGGACTTTTGATCGTCCCGCCATCACCCTGACTCGCCCATTCGATGAATCTTGGTGCCTCCAACTCCTGTTTCGGCCCCCATTGCACAAAAAGGCCACACGAAATGCAACAATTCTTCTTACAAGTCACTCCATCCACGGAACGTGACTTGACCAGCGGCCCTGTCATATGCTGGCCCCCAATTCTCAACAAGATCTGATGTGAGCTTGCTCTGCGTGACGCAATCAAGCTGGTATCGCCCTTCGTGGCTCAATTCGCAGCGCGCAAGCCAGCCGTTCAAGCAGTCTTCCCCTTCTTCCTGGGCAGGCCCTGTTCTTGCCTCATGGCAACGTCCCCTTCAGCCAGCCACTTGCTAGCCTTGACCAGCTGGATGACATTCATGATTTGCTTGTAGGCCATGACAGGGAAGCTGATGCCGGCGAGGATCCAGGGGACAGTGCTGTCCATCTTGTTGGCGCGGGCGAGCTCGAGGGCTGCGGCGCTGTAGGGGCTGGTGAAGACCTTCTCCAACACGGAACTGTTCACCTGGGCTCCCGCCTGGAGGTTATCCGCGACTGGGGTCGACAGGAGCGCGGGCGAAAGGGTGGGCGAGGAAAAGGACAGTAAGTACAGAGCGATGAAGAACAGCTCATTCAATGCGCATGCAACAAACAGAACCACCTAAAATCCCATGTCAGTTTAGTTTCGGAGCATTTGCGAGTAGTGCATCCTGCTAGTGGTGGTGGTGGTGTTGAAAGGAGAAAAGGGGGGGGGGGCGGTGGGGGAGGTGCCGCACCTTGTTGGTGTAGTAAAGGTTCAGAAGCCAGCTCCTGCTCTTGTCCACCGACTTGTGGCTCGTGTTCGAGCCACCCATCACAAGGGTCGTGTACATGTGCATGTAGTGGCTAGCGAAGTCGAGCGAGATCAAGCTCTGGAAGATGATGGCCCACCGGGGGAATGCGGACGAGAGGAACACCAGCAGGCACGAGGTCGTGCATCGGTCCGTCACCATGTCGAGAACGGCACCAAAGCGCGTGCTCTGCTCGTAGTACCGCGCGGCATATCCATCGAGGGCGTCAAGGAGGCAGGAGACGCTGTAGAGGAGCGAACAGGTCCGAGGGTGCAGCGGCATGTAGTAGAGGGACGAAATGGCGAGGACGATGCGGACGTAGCCTTCGGAAAGAGCTGTCAGCTTGCTATGCGTGTCGACGAGGACCCCGAGAGCCCGAGTTGGGGATCCTCGTGGGGGCCGCAGCGTGGCCCTCGAGAGCAGGGACTTTGCGTACCAATCAGGTTGGGTATGAAGAAGAAGATGTTCTCCGTGGATTGGGCATTCTGGGCAACGCCGTCGCCGGAGGCATGGGCTGAGCCATTGCCATTGACGACGACGTGCTGTTCTTGCCGGGGCTCAGGCGTCGCCTTGATGGGAGTTTCGTCAGCCGCGGCGGCCAAAGCTGCCTGTCTTCGGGTCCTAGCTCCAGACATGACAACGTTTGATTAATGAATCGCAGATGGGATGTTCGACGGGGCGAAACACGAAGAGGGCGGCGTCTTGTTGTCGATCGTGGCTTGCCGAGGCTTGATGTGCTTAAGTGAGTCTCTCTGTTGTTTTCCGGACAGGCCGGCGTGAAAGACTGGATATCGAGACCCGTTGGGTGGTATGTGGAGCTGGCTTGTTGGCTCTACGTGGCGTGGGCGTGGCGTGGGGTGAGAAGCGGGTGGGGAGCTTTTCTTCATGTGCAGTGACAGAGAGAGCTTCTGTATGTTCTGCAGAAACTGTCTCGATGTTCACGGTCGTGCCAATGGTAAAAGGGAGGAGAAGACAGGTTCACAAGCGAGATGGGCAGATGCGAATCCAAGTGTAAGCGTCGCCAGACCGGAGTGACTTATTAGGAATAGGAAACTTGAACAAGCCCGACGACACAGCTCCCAAGGCCGATAAGCCTGGCGATAAGGCAAACTGGCAGCCTGGGCAGGGATTGTGTTCCGGTCGTTCCTAGCGCCGTCGCCTCATCTGCCAGTCTGCTAGTCTGCCCGGAGCAACTGGGACGAACGGCAATGTCGGCCAAGGGGCAGAGCAATGACCTACGTACTGTAAAAGCGAGTAGAAATCCCAGAGTCAATTCCCCTCAGCGTGGACTTGACACAATAGACTTGCCTGAGCAGGCTTCATCAAACCTGTCTGCGTCTGGCGAGGTCGCCGCCTACTTTCTCTCCGTGACGCGCTAGGAGAATGAAGCTCACGGCATCCACCAGCAGGTCGCATTCCGGCCGCATGAGCCGGGCCTGCCTGCCAGCCCTGCCAGCCAGCCCTGCCTACAGTAGGGAGGCTACGTGCGCATGGCAAACGGCCCAGACTGCTTGCAAAGCAATACTGCTCGCAATACTGCTCCGGTGAATAGCACTCCGATGCATTTGTCATCTCCTGCAATGGACTTCCATGATGACATCTGGGCACGCTCACGGCTTCCCTGGCTTTTGGACTGCATCGCACTGCCCACCCCAGGGTCGGCGGCAGGTTCCCCGTTGCTCATGTAAGTGGTGGCCGCTTCAGTGTCGGTTGGGACGAAAGGACCACGCAATGAGACGAGGCAAGTCAGTTTGGAGCCGTGTTTGATACGGCGGTGTCTGTTCGAACCTTGCGCGTCTGGCCGATATTTATGGTGCCAAACAGGCTGACCTGGGCTGATAAGGGGTCCGTTGAAGTTGTGAGTCGTACGTAGGCGGCACCACGGGAATTATCCATGTCACCGGCAGCTCCGGTGAAGTGGATGGGATCACCAGAGATAAACTCTCGGCAAACCCTACTGTAGGGATGCCCCGTGTGGCCGGGAGTACCGACAAGAGCAAGTGGGCGGCGTCAGACCCCGTCAGCCCCGTCCAGTGTCCCGCAATCTCCGCGACAGACGATGTGCAAGGCTGGCCGGCCGCTTCTCTGCATGCATTTGTTGACATTTACCGGTCTTTGCCCACCACAGTACGCATGGCATGGGCGGGGTCGTGGCCGAGCCCTTGACTCGTCTGCGTGTTGCAGCTTGCAGGTGAGGGCATCCTGCGACCGTGTGCCAGTTCATGTGCTTTTGTGTGTTCCTGCAAGCTGGCCCGTCTCGACCTGTGCTCTTGTCCTGCGTGGTGGGTGCGCAGGACGGACTGAGAGGAGCCCCTCCTGTGCATGTCTCCAATATGAACATGGGACGTGAACATGGACGAAGACGGCATAGGCATGGCATGGCATAGCATAAGCATACAGCCGGCACCCAGACTCGCCTACGTCATCAGGCAGTTGCAGATATAGTCGACAGCGGCGAAGTCTCAGATGGGGGCGGTATTTTACAGTGCACTATGTAGGGTGCGAGCAACGCCTGTTGGTGGCTGGGAAGCGGGAGGGAGAAAGATCATCACCATGGGTTGGACTAGGACTCATCCCGGATGCACACAGCATCACCCAGCAGCCCGTGGACAGGACTGTTTCTTCTATTCTTGGGCCGCCCCCCTGAGGAGAGCTATGCTGTGCAGCCGGCCTGCCAAGCCAGCTGACACAGGTTGGTGTCCGTAGCTCTGGGACAAGGAATGCGGGTGCAGGTCGGCGCCGGTCAATCACGACTCACGGTCCAGAGTTGGTGACGGCGGACAGCAGCAAGTGGTGCACAACAGGACAAGCCCACCAGCCAGATCAGTCATCTGCCCGAATGGCCCCGCCCAATCCGTCCATGCGGTTGGAAAGGCAATTGGCCTGCAAGTCGGATATGACGAGTGCCGTCAGAGTCGAGTGATACGTCCGCTGAGGGATCGGGTCGAGGGGGTGGTCCTGTCATATTTGGTGGTTTGATCGCGCCAGGTGATGCAGGTGAGGGAGAGAAGGGTCGGTCTGGTCTAGCTTGTACCTGGTCAGCAATCTACCGTATTCTGGGGTGTGAGGCTGCTTCCTCCCCTTGCTCGCGCCACACGTCACAGCTACTGAACAAAGTAATGATCGAGTTGCCAGGCCGCCAGGGGGCCGTCTATCCACATCCCACAGTAGCACTGGGGCAGGTCGGAGTACTGTGTTGTGCTTGCAGCGTGGTAGATCCAGGGCGATGGCCAGCCTGCACGCAAGGGACCCAGGGCTCCAAGGTTTTGACCAGGTCTGGACAGCCCACCTCCGATGCACCTGGGCATGGGCCATGGGGTCCTCAGGGCAGCGCGAGGATCTGGAGTCTGGGCCCATGGAGCTGGCATCCCTGCCAACCATGGCCCTGACTGGCCCTGCCGGCCTGCCAGCCCTTGAAGCCCTGTGAGCTTCGACACTCGCCCACCCCGCCCTCATCTGCCCGCAGACAGGCCTCTGCTTGCCCTTCTCGCCCTGCCTGCACGTACTGTCCCGACTGTACACGGCCAAGTACCTGGACTACCTGGGCATATCGCAGACGAGACGGAGCTGCGGGTCAACAAAAAGGAAGAAAAAAAATAATACGCAGAAACACACAGGCTAGATAGACACGGCGCAGGACACACGGCGGCGATCGATAAATTCTTTCCTTCTGCCTCTCCTCCTGCCTCTGCCTCTGCCTCTGCCTCTGTTCCTGCCTCTCTCTGCCTCTGCCCGCACATCCTTCTGCCGGTCCCGACTTGTCTTGATAATCCTTATTAGGCCGAGCCAACCGCCCCCTCTCCCTTCCTCCTTCCCACTGACACCACCCCTCCCTCTCTGGTCGCTCTCACATCTCGGCTTGGCCTGCGACCCGTGACACAAACAGCCACCCTCCAGACGTCGACGTCACTCGGGACCACCTGCATATCTACCTCCCGTGTAGAATACCAATACCAGCTTGCCTCTCCCACCAGCAAACACGCCCTCTTCAACCGCCAATTTGAGGCTCTCGACGTTACATCGATCGTCGTGTTTGCGTTTGCTCCACTACCTGCTCTTTTCTGCTCTGCTCTGCTCTGCATTGCATACTACCCCAGCCGGCAGACCTTCCTACCTATCCTGCCCTGCACCACCTGCACAGCTGGGTGCCACCGCCAATACGCCATACCGTACCGTACCGCACCGCACCGCACCGCACTGCACCACTGAGAAAAGCCGTCGCCCTCTCGTCCCGCACACCAAAGCAGCTCCATCCCAAAGAACGGACGGAGTAGTGCTTCGACGACTTGGCAAAATACAATTCCGGAACCCCATCCCCGGTCCTGATCAAGCCATCCAGTCCTAGGCCCCCCTGTCACATCACACCGTCTCCTTCGTCTTCGTCGCAGCGGTGCGTGCTTCAGGTCTGGAACTTTGTCTTGTCGGAAAAGCCTGTGAGGTTTTGTGTGCAAGTCTTCTCCAATTGGGCTTGTAGACGCCTCGGTTCTTGCCCCGGCTCTCTTCTCCCGATACGACCGACCGATCATCGCCAGTTAGCCCCACTCCTCGTAGTTGGTGTCTTTGCCGCACAAACAACCTCTCAACGAACGTCAGCAGTACCACCCTCCTCCAGCCTGCCTCCAGGAGCCTGGCTCTTTGGGCTATTGAAAGCTGAAGCCGAACGGCTCCAGAGTCGTCCTCCTCGCCTTCACTTTTCGAACTCGACCCCAACATCTCCCGCACCCGGCAACTGCTGCTGCACGAATTGAAGTAAACAACGGTCTAGCTTGCTTTTAGCTCCTACCAGCGAAACGGGCCGTCAAGAAACAACACTTGCTTGCAATCCCACCAGTCTGTGCGGTGAGACTCGAGCGAAGTGTTCAATCTCAGACACTCTAGTCGATTCCATCTACTAGTAGCAACCCCTGCCTCTGCGCCGCTCCTCTCCACGGCAAACAGAAATTTACGGGACCATCAGCTACACTGAATCCTGAATTTGACTGCACTGGTGAGATACCACCATCCTGCTCTCTGTGTCGGATCGTCCTTTCTAAGACCCGTCACCGGCAGCCTCAAGCCAGATACAAACCGTCGCGAATTTGGGACTCCACGCATTATCCTCCCGCGCGACCCCCGCCCCAGCGCCAACATTCACGATGTCGGCACCAAGGCATTCCAGTTTAACAAGTAGCTACGGCGACCGGGCAGCGGGCGCGACACACCCGCTAACAAACTACCTCCTCCGGTTAATGGAACTCAAGAAGTCGAACTTGTGCGTGTCTGCCGATGTACACAGCGCACGGGAACTCCTGTCTCTGGCCGACAAGGTCGGCCCCTCGATTGTCGTCCTCAAAACGCACTATGACCTTGTCATGGGCTGGGACTTCAATCCGCAAACCGGCACGGGAGCGTACCTTGCGGCTCTGGCCAGAAAACATGGCTTCCTGATCTTCGAGGATCGCAAGTACTGCGACATTGGCAGCACGGTGCAGATGCAGTTTGTTGGTGGAACCGCGAGGGTCATAGACTGGGCACACATCGTCAATGCGAACATCTCAGCGGGCAAGCCAATGGTGGGAGCAATGGCCGAGGCAGCGGCTAAATGGCGGGAAAGGATCAATTACGAGGTCCGCACGAGCGTCACTGTTGGAACACCCGTGAGCGACGGTTTCGAGACCGACCCCGAGGAGATGGATGAGGAAGAGGACGAGAATGTTGGGGCTCTCGGCACCAACGGCCAGAGAAAGCCCTCCGCCGCACTAGAGGCCAGGGACATCAACATGATGGCGCCGCCGCCACCACCTCGGGATGCCGATGGGCGAAAGGGCAGTATCGTCAGCATCACCACGGTGACACAATCTTTCGAGCCAGCCGACTCCCCGCGCCTGTCCAAGAGCCTGTCCGACGTCGACGACATCGTCTTCCCTGGCATTGAGGAGGCACCACTCGAGAGGGGTCTGCTGCTCCTGGCACAAATGTCCAGCAGCGGTAACCTCATGGACGCCCGCTACACAAACGCATGCATCGAGGCAGCGAGGGAGAACAAGGACTTTGTGATGGGATACGTGGCACAGGAGAATTTGAACTCGGAAGCCGATGACAACTTCATCCACATGACTCCGGGCTGCAAGCTGCCGCCAGAGGGCGAGGAGGAGAATGGCGAAGGAATGCAGGGCGATGGAATGGGTCAACAGTACAACACGCCAGCGAAACTGATCGGCATAAGCGGCACGGATATAGTCATCGTAGGAAGGGGTATCATCAAGGCAGGAGACCCGCAGGGCGAGGCAGAGAGATACCGGGTGAGGGCGTGGAAGGCCTATCAGGCAAGGCTGAGGAATTAGAGTCAGATTATGACTAAAGGCCATATGGCGAGGAGGGTTTGAGGAAGTTGGATTTGGATACCCAGTCGGATGTTTCAAGGAGAGGACCGAGGCCATCATTTTTATTTTTCTCCTGAGATTCATTGAACTTTCGGTGTCACTGGAAAGCGAAAATGAGGGACTGATTCAGCCCGGCCATGGCGGTCTAGATAGCAGGTGCCTCTGTTGGAGGGTGTTTTGTACATACGGAAGCCCCTTGCAAGGGTCATGGAAGAAATGCAGGTCTACTATCACAGTCAACACAAGCCTCCGTATTGTGCTCTGCCGGGATAACACAGTGTGCTGACACCTCAAATCCCCAATCCAATTGATGCGCGTCCGGTGTGATTGCTGGATGGCATATGAGGAGCCATCCGGTTTTAAGATGAGGTTTCATAGTGTATTGTACGCAAGGCGCACTGCTCCCGGACAAATTGACACCGTCGAAGCAGGTGGTCTTGACGTTCAATGTCGATGTATGTTTTGTTCTAAAGATGCCGTCTGTTGCTGCCAAACCTGGCTGAGGGGAGTGAGCCCCAACATTGAACAGGCCCAAGTCTATCTATCATCAGGACAACGCTCTCAAAAGTAATGTCTACGCTCAATTCAGCCTCACGCCACCACCTCAAGGAAAATCACTTGAGCCATTTAGTCGTCGCAAATTCCCTGCCCCCGGCGCCCATGTCGTCCTCTGGCGTCCAGTCCCACTCCTCTGCCATGAATAGCTCCAGAGCCATCCGGTCAGCTGCCATGGCGCCTTCGTACCTAAGCCGCTGGTCCTGGGCGAGAGACCTCGTGAAGCGGAACACCTTGCTCCTCCCGGGGTCCCTGCCTTCTCCACCGGCGGACCCGACGGTGAAGTCCTTCTTCCGGCCCGGCTTGCCCCTGTCGGCGTCTGCACCCCCGCCCGACGCTGCGATCCACGTCGCGGCCTTTGGCTCCTTCTTCCACGCCTGCAGGTTCACACCGACGACATTAGAGCTCAGCATCACCTGGACATACTCGAGGATCGGCGTGATCTTGGATCTGAGCCCGCAGTTGGTGTGGTTCTTGTCTATCTGGTAGTGAGGGCTCTGCCGCAGCGCCGCCAGGACCGAGCTCACGTCCACGGCTGCAAAGTCCTTGACGCTGTCCTGCGAAGAGGGAGAGAAGTTTACGAGGAACAGCAGGTTCTTGGCCGTGAAGAACTTGACCATCTCTCCCAGCTGGAATGAGTCGCAGGCCGCGCTCGAGTCGTAGCCGAGCTTGCACTGGCGCGCACGGGAGGAGTAGAGGCGGAGAAAGTGCCCTACTATAGAGGCCAACGTCCTGAGGATGAGGGTACGGCGGTAGTGAAGCTCCTCTTGACGGGTTTCAAATTTCAGCGAACAACACAGGAAGATACTAACACAAATGCAGGGATGGGGGGTGTAGAAAGCGTGAAAGCTTGAAGCATGCAAAGAGGTGGAGGGCACTTACCCTCCATTTCAAGATACCACCACAGAGCATCTCGACGAGACGACTCGGGCTGCTTGAGGGGCTCGGGGCCCGCGCCCTCATCTTCCTCGTCGCCGACCGCAGCCCAGCCGTGGGAGCCGTAGAGGACCAGCTCCCGCGTAGCCGCCTGAAACTTGAGTGGATGGTCAAGCAGCCACGAAACAAGTGCCTTCTGGCGCAGGATCTCCTCCTCAGCAATACTGAGGCTCGTCATGCCCTCCACCTCCGCGCTCGGCTTGGGCTGGGGCGTGGCAGGCCACTTGAACTTGAGCCCTGTGGCTAGATAACGCGAGACGGTGGGGGCGCAGGCGAAGCGATCGGCCATAACCGCCATGGTCGCCACATACAGCATGGTCACGGGCCTCGTGGTGATGCCGCCACCGTGCAGGATCCTCAGCAGATCCCGAAAGACATCCTCGCGGCCGGCGGAGCGCGTAGCCTCGTCGTCGTCGACGATGACGACGCGGGGCAGCTGGTCGGAGTCGACGTCTGCCGGCTTCTCGTTGCGCAGGGACAGGTCGCGGAACCTTGACTCGATGGCGCGGGCTTCTTGGAAGCGCGTATCGGTCAGCAGGTTCGTGAAATACCTCGAGTGTTTCTTGAGCGTGGAGAGGTCCACACGGTAGGCAAGGTGAATCCGGGGCTTCAACAGCGGCTGGGGCGCGGGTGGGTCGCGCTGGGCGGGGCGATGCTTGGGAAGGGCGGCGCGGGCTGCCTTCAGAGTTGACTTGGACGTCTCGAAGGTCACGTCCAGGAGGATATCGCCCTTCGGAGCGATGGTGATGACCTGTGGCAGGTCAGTTGGGGATGCCGGGACTCCATCATCTTGGGCAGTCTCGGATGCTTCGTCCATGGGATAATTTGGGAAGCACAGTCGTCGGCGCAGATCATAATAGGTGGAACAATGCTGCGAAAACGAACTGGGTCAAGAGGTTTAATGTGAGGGCAGACGGGATCAGATTCAACAGCCTCGCCTGATCGGTGACGTCGTGGCGCACGTTTGGAGACGGACCTCGACCCCTGACACGACCCGACGGCGCCCGTGGGGTTCCCGGATTGCTGATTATACAGTCTACTGTACTACCTGTGCCCCATGCCTATGCCTGCGCCTAAGCCTGTGCCTGCCGGGTGCGCAGGAATGGGTGGGACTCAACAACGGCTCCTCAATGGCCGCCAGACGGGAAATAACCTACGATGATGGCATTTGGAATCCCGAGTATTCCTGTTTATTACAGTACCGTGTTATGGAGCTTCCCAGGCACGGCGGCCTTTCTCCTCCTCCCAAGGTTCCTATTGTCCGACCTTGGTCAACGACCGACCCGAGTTTCTTCTACCCTCTCCTTTCATCTTCCACTCGTTGAACTCCAAGTTCCTCTCTCGATCACTCAGCAACATCGACGACAATAGCCCTTATTTCCGCCGAACTAGAACTAACCACGCCCACGGCCCCCGACGAGCGGGCCCACGATACGTCAGCTTGTACCTTGGCACTTCCGATCCTGTATTTTCGCTGATGGACCTCCGACTGCCCTCGAGGTGCCCACTCAACCAACCCCTCCGCCTCTCCCCTCCTGCCCAACTGCTCCTTTCGTGGCGTCTACTGTGTTCTTGAGAGGGGCACAGTTCTAAGCCCAGTCTTGCGGAACTGCCATGGCCATGGCTCGGCCAATCTCCTCGCTGGTGCCGCGAGCGCGACCCTCAGTAGGCAAGCCCGAAGACACCGCCGCGCTTCTCGAAGAGTTCATGGGCTTCGTAGCCACATTTTTCCACGATGCGAGTCCAGCAGCCTCGCAGACAGCCCATGTTGCTGCACGAGGCCGCACTCCAAGCAGACGCTGGTTCCATGCCCAGCGTCAACTGTCCATGGACAGGACCGCACCCGCCTCGTCGCCGTCTCACAGCAATCTGCAGCAACAGACGCCCCAGGCAAATTCTAGTCGGGCTCGTGGTTTTCACAACTACTTTGTCACCCACCTCCCTTCGTCCTCCCTACACCCCGACTCGAGAGTCGTCAGCGGTCCGCACCACAAGCTTCCTCGTGCCGCTTCGACCCCGCATACTCCTGGGCCCGGGTCCTCGACTCCAGCATCGCCTCCGAATATGCTGTCCCGCGACCTGACCGTGGTGCGTATACCATTGCGCAGTGCAAAGCACCACTTCGGGGCCTTCAGCGGCCGGGGCAGCCGTCCGTACAACGAGGACACAGACCAGGCTGGCACAATCGACATACCGGCTTTCGCCAAGCGGGCACCCATGAACTTGGTCAGGAGTGAGAGGAGGAACAACGCTGGCGAGGCGACAACTGCGGACAGCTCGTTTGGAGACCCTCAGATATTCTATTTTGGCGTGTTTGACGGCCATGGTGGCTCTCAGTGCGCCGAGTTCCTCAGGGACGAGTTGCATGGCTACGTTGAGGAGGCTGCCAAGGAGTTCGAGCTGAAGAGTAGTCTCAGGAAAAAGAACAAAGCAGCCAAGGGACCGTCAGATGATGCCAGCAGCCCAGAGCCGCTGAAGCCTCCTGGAGGATCCAAACAAGAGGCTTTGGAGGGCATAGATATCAAGAGTCCAGACGAGGTTAAGGCTCAGATGAAGGAGACAACTGCGACACATGGCAAGATACCGACCACCCCAGGCCAGGAACCCGTTCCGGTCAAAGCGGATCTTCCAAAGGCCATCAAACTAGAGAAGGAGCTTCTTGACGAGTACAAGAGGACCATTGGTGGTTACTTCAGGCGATTCAGACCAGCTCTTTTCGATCCTGGCAGCTCTTCAGCCGTCACCACCAACGCAAAACCGGCCAAACCGAAGGTTTCCATAGAATCGATCCTGACCTACGCCTTTCTCCGCGCTGACCTTGACTTCGTCACCGCCCAGGCCCGCAAGCCTGACCCGGACGACCCGTACGTGAGCGACAACCAGCCGCTCAACCAGGACGAGGTGCTGGGATCCTCACCGCACTCCGCCCCGTCGGGTCATAAGATCGGCGGGCCCACGCGCTTCAAGGGCGGCAGCACGGCGTCCATCGCCCTGATTTCGACGCCCACGCCAGCGCCGTACTGGCACCCGGCGACGCACAGCACCGTTGTGGTCGCGCACGTCGGCGACACGCGCATCCTGCTGTGCGAGACGGCCACGGGGCTGGCGGTGCCGCTGACCAGCGACCACCACCCGTCCAGCCCCACGGAGAGCCGCAGACTGGCGCGGTTCGCCGAGTCGGTGACGGACAGCTTCGGCGAGGAGCGCATCGGCGGGCTGGCCAACAGCAGGTCGTTCGGCGACATGCAGTCCAAGCGCGTCGGGGTCAGCGCCGAGCCGGAGCTGACGCGCCTCGACCTGGGTCCCGCGCAGTACTCGTTCCTGGTGCTGATGAGCGACGGCGTCAGCGGCACGCTCAGCGACCAAGAGATCGTGGACGTGATCAAGGAGGCCAAGACACCCGAGCAGGGGTCCAAGAGCGTCGTGGAGTACGCTAACGAGGTGAGCCACAACGGTGACAACGCCACCTGCCTCGTGGTGCGCCTGGGGGGCTGGGAGAGGAGGAGCGAGGGCGGCCTCGGCAGCCTCGGGACCAAGGAGATGCGCGATGCTAGGAGGGCCGAGGCCCTCGATCCTCGACGGGGTAGGAGATGAGGAGGCATATACTGGCTTACACGAGAGTTCTAGATCCGTGAGATAGACGTGATGGGAGATTGCGTAACTTGTTGAATCATGAGATACCCAACAGGGAGGGAATGGAAGCCACAGTGGCTGAGGATACTTCGCACATAGGCATACACACGCAAACAAGCATTTTGAACACAGTCCCGTGTCGGCGTGCTGACTTTCTGACTTCCATGGCCTTTTCCCGAAGTACATGCAGGAACACTTGTGATAGGCTAAGCTAATATCATGGTGAATAAGCCATACTTTACGAGGTCTCATGTCTATACCCGTTGATCTTCTTGAAGTTGTGCAGCAACAACGCAAAGGTTTAGGACCTAGTTGTAACGAGTGTGCCCTATCCTATTCAGGAATGAGTAATGTGTAAATAGTAAGTTCTTGAATTGCATCACAAAATCATGGCTACTGGTTAGATTCCCTTACATTGGTGCCATACCAGTTGTACTTTGGCGAAGGAAGCGCTTCAAAACTGAATTTTCTCCAGCAGATACAAGGCAGAGTAAGATACATAAGCCTTGCGACAGGCACAGGTCCGCGAAACCCGTCTCCCATCAACGGATTACGACTCACGTGAGCAATCGAACGGGCCGCAGGAAAGTATGGCATTAAGGACATAACATTTACATGACAAAAGGCATCTCCCTGACTATTATCGTCATCGTCGTGCGTTTCATCCTCAACTAGAGTGTATGGACCGCCAGAAACGCCTTGCCCTCGCAGGCACCTCCAAAAACCCGCTGGTCCATGCCCTCCCCGCCCGCAGCAATATACTGGCCAGCATCAAGAAATCCTGACGTGAACGGTGTAGCTCAATACCTTGGAGGGTAGCCACCCCACTGCCCGGGCGGAGGCTGTCCATATGGGCCGGGTGGATACTGCTGCCCACCAGGGCCATGTCCAGCTCCAGGATATCCTCCCTGGGGCGGCGGTGGCCCACCACCCCAATATCCTCCCTGCCCGGGCGGTGGAGGCCCTTGAGCATACTGCGAGCCTTGAGGCTGTGCAGGGTATCCATACGGACCAGGGGGCGCCGGCGGCGGTTGTCCGTAGGGCCCGGGAGCTGGGGCGGCGTATTGATTTGGGGGAGGCGGCGTGTGGCCGTAGTACTGTTGATCAGGCTGGGACGGACGCAGGTAATCGTCGGCGGCTCCTCCAGTGGGAGGATGATCAGACTGACCGTACCCATACGACCCATAGGGTCGGGCTGACTGCGGCGGCGCTGGCTCCTGGCTCATGTACTGGTCCTGCGGCCGGCCATCGCGGCCTCCCATGGCATCAAGATCTCGCGTCTGAACCTGGGACCACAGAGAACCCGCGACCTTTCCGTGGCCGACTTCACCGAGGGCGTTCGTCCAAGCGGACCAGTCGTTCGCACCGTGGTTGTGTCCGCCTGCCTTCTGGTCCGGCCGGATGATATGGTTCTTTCCGTTCTTGACGGATTCCGAGCCCAGTGTGCTGTTGAGGTCATGGTTCCGCGAGTACTCGTTAGCCCATTGTCGCACGGTGTCAAACATGTCCTTTTGGATCTGGATGTGCTCGTCGCGGATGGCTGGGTGGTGAAAGGCACGGAGGACGTCGTTGACGACTTCATCCACCGGCACGCCTGTGTGCTCCCAGGCATACAGCACGCGGCTGCGCAGGTTTGTTTGTTAGCCCAGTGGCTTCACGAGCTACGGTGTGGGGAATACTCACGGGACTGTGTACTGCAAGATGGTGGACGCAACTCTGCCGGCGCATGGGTTCAGGATGTTGGTAAAGTGGTCCTTGGACAGCATCGAGTGAGTCGGATCGGTGCAGGAGGGGTTCCTCCAGGGTTCCAACTGGTTGTTGGCGGATGCGCTGATGACCCCTGAGCTCCCATCCTTGAGTGCCTTCGACACCTGGTTGATGATGGGTCGCACGAACGGGGCCAGGAGGCCAAGCACGAACGCCGTGAGAGTCTCACTGATGTGCTCCAGCAGCTTCTCCAAGCCAGGAACCTTGCTGATTATGGTCGACAACGACTTAACGATCTTGTCTCGAAACTCAAGAATAGGGTAGATGCGCTTAGCTGTTTGTACAGGATCGAAATCCGGCGACATGCCTGGAACCTGATTCACGTTTGCTCGGGTGGTCTCGTTCCGTCGCTCTTGGTCGGCGGAGGCTTGCTGGAGATTGCGAGCCTCGGAAGCAAAGCCGGACCCTACGCCGGGCAGTTTGGAGATACTGGAGATGAAGTCCGACCCGACGTTGCTGCTGCCACCGCCGAAGTTGATGCCGAAAAAGCTACGCTCGCCTGACGAGTCACCACGGCTGGTAGGACCTGCAGAGCCTCCTTTCTCGGCATTCTTCAGCGCAATGTCCACCTCGTCAACCTCAGACTGGGTGAAGTGGTCAGTAGCCTCGCCAAGAACCGAATGAAGGAAATCCACGCCTCCAAAGGTGCCCGTCACGATTGGGTAGACATGTTTCCCTCGTAGGTTGATCTGAGAGGCAGTTCCACAGTGTGGGAAGACGTTGTGGTAACCCATCTCGCGCAATGCCAACTCGCAGTAGTTGCTGTGTGCACTGAAGTCTTCCATGCAGTGGAGGGCCTGGCCGAGGCACCTCAGAGCCTCGCAGAGATCGGCCTCCTTGCCACTCCTGCCGCTCCCTCCGCTGGTGTAGAGCCTGCCGAAGTGGACGCTCCTCGCGAAGGAGAAGCGCAGGTATCCAGCGCTGGTAGCCCAGTCACCAGACTCGTTGGCGATGTAGTTCTTCATGCCTGTTCGCATGTCGATTTCCGTCTCTCTCTGATCGACAGGGCCTCTGAGCCTGGAGTCAAAAGTGCGAGCATCCATGCCGTCTGCGTAGCCAAGCGGGTTGTCTATGTGCTCCTCGGGCCGGCTTCCACGCGTTAGCTGCATATTACAGGGCGCAAGATGCCGATGAAATTCCTGAGGGGGTTTCAAAGATAGAGGGAAGGGAAGCTGTGCAGAGATGGCCTTGTACGTACTACACGCCAAGGCGTTCCTCGGTGACCTCGAATTCTTCGGTGGCGTAACCGAAACTCATAAACGAGAGCACCCAGACCAGAATTCGAATTGTAGGCGCATTGCAGCCCTTCAACGAGCCCACGTCTACAGCTTGGGAATAATCGCGTAGCCAGTTGCCGAAATACGTCCGCTTCACCAGCATGCTGGTCCATTTCTTGCCGTGCAAGAAGGCAACGGTCTTGAGCATATCCTCAATGTCGCCATGGCGCCAGTTTGTGCCTTCAACCTGGGCTGTGATGACGGACTGTCAGAATTCTTGCTTATCATGCACAATTATCATGCGCTACTAGAGTGACTTGCCAATGGATGGGATGTTTCCAGCGCCGAAGGCGTGTGCTTTGCCGGGCAGCAGCACCAGGATGACGCAGAAGACGAGGAATATCGAGGTGGTGGGGCCCCACCTCAGGCTAGAGGAAGCCATGATGAGGTTGGCTTGTTGCAGGAGGTGAGCGGGAGACGGCGCGCGCTTCTGGATGAGAAGAATTGAATATGATAGAAGTGTGCTGTGCTACACAAGAGAAGTGAGAATTAATGTCAAGTGTGGAGTTCAGGGTGTTTGTGTGAAGAAAGCAGAGGCTGACATTCCAAGTTCCAAGGTTTTGGCTGGTTCCGTTTGCTAAGAATGAGTTCACCACGGAGGCGGGGCAAGATTACTGGATTGTCTGACTTCCCTCCTGCTAACCATAGTACCTACCATTACCTAGACGTACGGTTCAGCTAGCTACCCTGGGTATCCTTCCTTGCCATCAGGCACTTGCAAAAACGATGTTGGCTGCTCCTGTTCGTCTCTGCTCTCGCCCTCCTGTGGCTGCGCCACCCGCGTCCTGTTGGAATGACATCCGTGATAGGCTGCCTCTGACGGTTCCAGCTTGACTGCGTCGACAAAGCCACACAGCTGGTGTCGACATTGTTACTTCTACCTGCAGCGGGGGGCAGTTGCATCGACTACTGTGCTGTAGTCCCGGGCTTGGCGAGGACGAGGTTATTGGGAGCACATCTTGGGCAGCAGCACGGACCAGGCGGAGGCCGTTGCTCCCCAGTCATGTTGGCCCGCCGAGAGGAGGGCGATGGGAATCTACAGTATCTATTATGGCGACAACTGACTGCCATGGCAAAATGTGCTTATTTGAGCTGAACCTGACTTGGGCTCGGCTCGGCTCGGCTGGACTGGGCTGAACAGGCTGGGTGCGGGTGTCAGCTCTGGCAGCTGGCTGGGCTGGTTCCTACTGGCCTGCCAGAGTTTGAACGACTCTTTGCTTGGATGTGACGGGGGATCACTTTGTCAAGGGTTCCGTGTCAAACCACAACGTTGGATCCGGTGTGTGGATTGCGGACCCTGAAGTCTTGGGGGTGCGAGGAGCAGTTCATCGATTTGATTGATACTGCAGGCAGATAAGCAAGGCCACTCACTCACCCACTCACTGCTGTAAGTCAGCACTGCGTACCTGGCACTGTCAACAACGCAGACAATAGTTAGCCCAGTACCATTGATTAATGACGACAGGCAGGATCTAAGGATCAGACATTGCCAGCGCACCGCAAGATTGGGAATACCGCTCCTCTTGGAGCCACAAAATCATGCCATTGTTCGGCCACGTCCAAATCCCGGGTAGCGCCACTGAGCACTCAGTGGGGTGATCATCTATGGCTACCACTCGGGCTGCCCATCGAATTTCAAAACCCTTCCCAGGGATCCCGAAAGCGCTGCAAGGAACGGCACTTTGGGGGAGTTAAGCAGCCCGGCCGGTCAGGCCACCCCAGCTGATGATAGAGTAATACATGTAATCTTGAGCCCAGGTCTGGTCTTGGAGGCACTCGGAACCCATCTCCCTCGCCCCTGGTCCCTGGTCCCTGAACCAGTCGAGGTATAATTCATTTCCTGCCCTGTCCATCCGGCTTCATTTCATCTCCCATGTTCTCAATTCTCGCGGTCTAGGTGATTGATTGTGTTGGTATTTGTTCGCTGGTTCCCTTCTTCTCGACCAGTCCGACTCTACGAGCCGACCGACCAATTGACCCGTGCGCACCGTGGCCTCGAGTTTCCCGCACCGAAGCGCGACACGGCGTTGTCTGTTGAGTAGTCTGACCTGTCTACAGCTCCACTCCGCTCCCTTTCTCGTCCTTGCCACCAACCCCAAAAGGACACCCAGGTTCACCGCACCCTTCAGCCCATCGCTGATCTGCAAGACACGATGCCGTCGCGTACGCTCCCTTTCTTCACGCGCGCCGACGTCGAGGCACACAGCTCGGCAAAGTCCTGCTATGTCACTGTTGGCGACAACGTCTACGATGTCACAGATTTCCTCGACGCCCACCCCGGCGGCTCCGACCTCGTTCTCGACTGGGCTGGGAAAGACATCACGGAAATCCTCAAGGACCCGGACTCACACGATCACTCCGAGGCTGCCTATGAGGTGCTCGAGGATTCCCTCGTTGGCTTTGTGGCTGGAGACAAGTCAAGGCCGGGCGCGGACGGTTCAAATGGGGTCAACGGCGATGCTCACACGAACGGCAACGCCAACGGTAACGGTGCCGCAAATGGCAAATGGGTTCACCCGAGGACGGGCATGTCGACTGAGGAAGACCTGAACAAGGAGACGGACTATTCGGAAGACTACAAGAAGCACAAATTCCTCGACCTCAACAAGCCCCTCTTCCCGCAGGTGTGGTTCGGCGGCTTCAGCAAGGAGTTCTATCTCGACCAGGTCCACCGCCCCCGGCACTACAAAGGCGGACAGTCCGCGCCTTTCTTCGGAAACTTCCTCGAGCCCCTTAGCAAGACGCCTTGGTGGGTTGTCCCGCTGATCTGGTGGCCTTGCGTGGCCTTCGGCGTCTACTCGGCCGCCCAGGGCTTCGAGCATTCCTACAACCTGCCTCCCTTCTTCGTACTGGGCTTCTTCATCTGGTCGCTCATTGAGTATCTGCTTCACCGTTTCCTATTCCATCTTGACTAGTAAGTCCATGCCTCGTCATGTCATCAGGTGATCACAGTGTGGCTTACTTTTGGTGTCTCAGCTACCTTCCGGACAACCGAGTCGGTATCACGCTGCATTTCACCCTGCACGGTGTCCACCACTACCTGCCGATGGACAAGTACCGGCTCGTCATGCCGCCCACACTCTTCTTGGTGCTGGTTGCGCCATTCTGGAAACTTGCACACTTCATCTTCTACTGGAATTGGTTCGTTGCCGTGGGTGTGTTCTCGGGCGGCATGTTCGGCTACACGTGCTACGACATGACACACTACTTCCTGCACCACCAGAATCTGCCGCTCTGGTACAAGCAGCTCAAGAAATACCACCTTGAGCACCACTTCCTCGACTACGAGAATGGCTTCGGTGTTACCAGCAAGTTCTGGGACACTGTCTTCGGCACAGAGATCAAGCCGGCACCGGTCATGAAGACCAAATAGGAGCACAGAGTGCTTGGGCCCGTCGACACTACATTTCAGTGTACATGTATATCATTCAAGACATATAGGACGGCATTTTGCGGCGTGCGCCGACAGAGGCAAAACAGGGTTGGATTGGTGCCTGTCTACATACACACATCCCCTTTCGCGAGACGCGAGAATGCCGTAACTTGGTATCGCTAACATCCGCCGGATCGAGGCACAGGGAAGTAAATGTTTGCCCGCCGGCTGCTCCAGCGTGGAAGCGCTCGATACGATAATAAGTAATAATGAAACAAGTCGCTCTCAATGAAACTTGATAGACCAAGGCACCTGTTTGCGCATGCTCTCTAGACTGCCAACCCCTGTGCAGTAAGCAGATCCGTGCACGGTCCACCAGGCTAGAAATTTGTGCAATCAAAGTGCTGGCCCCACCCTTTTGTGTCTCCTGATAAAACACCACATCACCCTGCTTGCAGCCGCCCGACACACCATCGCTGTCGGCAGTCCTGCAGATTCGACTCTTCTGACTCTACTCGCTGTTAGACACAATATCTCATCCACACAGTTCAAGATGGCATCCTATGATGTCGAGGCGCTCCTCGAGGAGACTGCGAAGCAAGATGTGAATATGGAGGATGCGCCATCCGTTCAGGCAGCAGCCGACGGTGCCAGCGACGAAAAGCCCAACGGCGAGTCTCGCCACCGAAGCCGCGAGAAGAGCCGTGACCGCGAGCGCGAGAAAGACAGAGATCGTGACCGTGACCGCAGCCGCGACAGAAAGCGACGCGACCGTGATCGCAGCCGTGACCGGTATAGCAGCCGTCGCGGCACCCCAGATGCCGAGAGGACACCCCGCAGTGATGCCGGCAGCCATAGGAGCAGTAGGCGCCGGAGTAAGAGCCGGGACCGCGAGGATCGGTCCTCACGCCGCCACAGGGATGGTGACTATTATCGCGGCGGGCGTCATGGTCGATCGCGCTCTCGGTCCCCGGGCGGACGTTTCTACCGCCCTCGAGACCGCGACGACCGGCGGGATTATAGGGAACGCCGAGAGCGACGGGATGATGACCGAGATCGTCGTGGCGGCCGGACGCCTCGCACGGATAAGGATGCTAGCGATCCTACGCCGCCGCAGCTCACCGAGGATGAGAGGGATCGCAGGACCGTGTTCGTCCAGCAGCTTGCCGCTAGATTGAGGACGAAGGAGCTCAAGGAGTTCTTTGAAAAGGTTGGCCCCGTATCTGAAGCTCAGATCGTCAAGGACCGCGTCAGCAACCGATCCAAGGGGTACGTTTCGAATCCACACCCATCGCAGGTCTCCCCCAGACTACGCTTCATCGTTGCTAACTCTTGTCTACCAGTGTCGGCTATGTTGAATTCAAGGACGAGGAATCTGTGCAGGCTGCTCTACAGCTTACTGGACAAAAGCTCCTAGGTATTCCGGTCATCGTCCAGCTCACCGAAGCTGAGAAGAATCGACAAGTCCGCGAAACGGGCGGCTCCGGCGGTCACCCCAACTCGATCCCTTTCCACCGTCTGTACGTTGGCAATATTCACTTCAGCATCACTGAGCAGGATCTTCAGAATGTCTTCGAGCCATTCGGCGAACTCGAGTTCGTCCAGCTTCAGAAGGATGATACAGGACGCAGCCGCGGCTACGGATTCGTGCAGTAAGTAGACCCATCAACGCTTTCCACCGAGTCGCGTTCTGACTCCATTGCAGATTCCGAGATGCCGGCCAAGCACGTGAGGCTTTGGAGAAGATGAACGGATTCGATCTTGCCGGTCGACCGATCCGCGTCGGACTTGGAAACGATAAGTTCACCCCTGAATCCACTGCCAATCTCCTGCAGAGATTCCAGGGCCAAAACCAACAGTATCAGGGGTCTGCTTTCTCGGGCGCTGGTGGCCGTGGTGCACCGACATCCAACTTTGATCGTGCCGGTGCCCGTGATAACGACAAGGGTACTGGCGCGAGCGCTCTGGACGACACCGACGTTGCTGGCGTCAATTTTAACAACTACAGCCGGGATGCTCTTATGAGGAAACTAGCGAGAACTGATGAGCCCCCGAGCGCAAACACTGAGCGACAGATTCTCAAACCGAAGACGGAGCCAAAGCCGCTGCCCGTCAGCGTCAGCCAGGCCAGCCGCTGCGTTGTTCTTCACAACATGTTCGATCCCGATGAGTAAGTACCTGGTTCACTTGTTTCCCGAAGATCACCGTTCGCTAACAGAATCGTAGGGAAGAGGGAGACAACTGGGTGAAGGAATTAGAGGAGGATGTTCGTGAGGAGGCGGAGAACAAATACGGCCACGTCGTCCACATCTCCGTCGAGCCCAACTCCAAAGGAGATATCTATCTCAAGTTTGACAAGGTGCAGGGAGGCGAGAACGCGATCAAGGGCCTTAACGGTCGCTACTTCGGCGGCAGGATGATCACTGCTGCGCCGGTGGTAGATGCCGTCTACGCCAGTCTATTCCGAGCAAACTCGAAGGCTTTCTGAGTCGCTAATTCGGATCCACAAATGCTTTACTCTAGGCTTTCTCCCGTCCGGTAAGAGAAAGCATGGGCGACACGCAAAACTTCAGCGGTACTGATGACTGCAAGATTATTTTTCAACTGCATTCCCTTGTGGGAACTCAACCTCGCCGTCAAGATCGAATGATCTCTAATCATCCCGATCACCGAAGTCGCCACCATCTCAATGCCCCTTCTGGAACCTCTCGGCAAGCACGGTTGCAAAACGGACAACAGGCTGGTTTGATCCCGCAACTGGAACACGACCACTGACGGGTTACGAGTTACAGGTTCCCACTGAACTGGTAACACAGTGCACGACAACTCGGCCCATCTTTTCACTGATTATCATAGTACCCGGCGTTTGAGTCTCCGGTTCTATTATCCGTACAGGCATCCGTTTCGAATACACTTTCATCTTGGAGTTAGGGTTGATTAACAAGATACTGATGATTGTACATAGGAGGATCAACAGCTTGACGTTACATTCCCGTCGTCTTTAGCTGGCGACCCGCCATGCTCGTGACCGAGCGATTAATGGAACAAATTAGATTGCTTACAATTAAAACCTCTTCTTGAGGGGCGCTGCCTTGTGACTATGCGTCTCAGTCAAGTCCCGCCATTCGAAGTTCTCATGGCCTCGGATCGGTGGGCAGCATCACGTTCAATGGCGACAGTTCGTTTATGAACACACGGCCCATCTCCAGTTGACCGGTCTGGTCTTCTGCCCCCGTGCTCTTCTATTCCTCGTCGACTTGCTCTGTAACTTACTGTGCTTTTTCGTCTGGTCCTCTTACCCGCTGCCCCAACACCCACCACGTCTTAGAGACCCACGCGTTGGCCAGAAGGCATAAAACAAAGGCTCATGTTTCCCGGGGCCACCTGCTCATGCTTTGCTGTCATCCCTTCTTGCTCATCCCCCCTCAACACCTGTATCACGATCCCAACTCACGGTCTTCCCCTTGTCACCGACCGCACAGTAGGTCAGCAAGTCGCGCAAGATCCTCTAAGCAACGTTGGGGGAGTGAATGAACGTATGCAAGTTGATCTCGGTTCTGAAGTTCAGGACAAAACCTCCTGCACCATCGACAGCCATGATATATTTAGCTGGTCGTTTCTACTCTATCATGGCCACCGTAGGCAAGCCCGCGGAAAGTGCCGGCGTCACTCAGCCTTGACCCGTAGGCTTTGACACACATTGATGTGTTTCCCCTTTCCCATAAAACGGCTCTGGCCCTGCCCCTCCATGCTATACACGAGTCTCTTGCTGTGTTACTTCATTCCCTGCGGCTGTCAGAGTTGATTATGCCTTTCCCTTTCCCTCAGGGAAGGCACGGCCTGGGAACACCTTCTCTCGTGCGTGTTGCAGTTTTGCACGAATTGGTCCTTTTTTTCTCCAGATCACACCATCTTCCGTGCCTTTTTTTAAAATCTCCCACCACAGCTTTCGGCATGGGCCAGCGGTCCCTTGGTTTCTATAAGATGTACTGTCTCTTGCCGGCGTTCATGTACTTTCGAACGTCCCGACTCACGGGTTTTGCTTTGTCGGACGTGGCCTGCTCCCATGGCTTCTCCTAAAACATTGAGTCCATGGCTCTTCTATTGACGAATCTCGCGAGAACGGCCTTCCAATTTTCGTTCTCTGCCCCAAGAGGGAGTATCTCCACCGGACGTCAAGTTCCGTTGCTTCGTCTTTGGAAGTTTCCAATGTCACTTGTTCCGTAGTTTCCCATGGCAACACCATCGCAGTTCACTGCCCGCCACCGCTCTACACAAATGCCTATAATCGGGACGTCTGGATGGTCGTCATCCTTGACGATGATACCAGAAAGGATAGCTTAAAGCATGATCTCCTTAAGGCCCAGATCTCCTTACTTCCAGCCTGGAAGCATGCATCGTGGCGCACCTTCCGGAAGCCGGAAATCCACACGCACCTAACACTCAGCCGAAGGGGGTCGATCTTCGAATCTGTTGATTTCAAGCAAATTTACGCTTCTTTTGGGGCTCCGAGGTCTGTTGACGGAGATGTCATGAGAGATTTGAGAAGAACACCCTACAATACGGGTTAGCTGGTAGCCCATTGCAGGCGCAGGACACGGGAACGATCAGCCTACACTCCTCGACAGCCACACTCCTCGACAGCCACGCACGTTCAGAACCTTGGTATAGAAAGGGCTCACGTACCGAGTACCGCCTCCTGGAGAGAACTCGTCCGTGCCAGCCACTCACAGCTTTGGGTCGATCGAACACGAACACTCCGGAGTTTGAAGACAGTGCTGTGGTCCAAGGTTTCAGAGGTGTTGGGTGGTCATGGCCTGGCACCGGCCGCAGCTTTCATACAGCTTCTTTCTGTCCATTCGATTCACCTGTATCTTGCTTGGGGCATGTCCTCTGGCCGCAGGGGATTCGATCTCATCCCTGGTGGTTTGACATGGAACAATGGCCCAGAGGTGGCAGAGAATAAGGGTCACTGCGGTCTTGGGGAGACAAAAGTCCCCTGTACCTATCTGGATCAGACAAGCACAATTGGGCCCGAGCTGCAGGTCACGATGTGCCTCTGAATGGCAGCCCCAGGGCGTCCCATCCGCCGGCTTCTTTTCAGCTTTCTGTGGGACATATCTTTGGATTTCTTGGGATACATGGACGTTCAGTCCTCTTTTTCCTCCAAGCACAACCCCTTGCAAGGCCCTCACCAACTGCACCACCTCGCCGTCTCCTTGCGTGCGTGCTCACACGGTTCCTGTTTGCCGCCTCCTCCACCAGACGGCACACGTCCATGGTGACTTGGAGCACGCGGATGACTCGCCCTTGTTGACGATACTTGGCTTGGTCCGGTTTGCCTGCGGCCAGAAAATTCCGCTGGATTGCGGAAAACGACACGCAGCAGCAGACCACTTTTCTTGCCCTTAGCATCGTTGCCTGCTAAGGCTTTTAAGTAATCCCTCCCCTCTGCCACAAATCCCTCCCCTTTCTTCCAGCTTCTTTGCAGGAAGTCTGGAGAGCCTTCCCTCATCCCCTTTCCTTGAGCATCTTCTTTAATGGTCTAGAGAGACCTCCATCTTTTCATCTTCCGCACACCATCACCGGCAGCATCCCTAGCAGCAGCATACCAGTCAACAGCAGCAGCGTCCTTGTCAGGAGCAGCAGCGGACACAACCTTCTTCCTACCCGGCATCAGTCAATCAAGTCTGTCTGTCTGCCTGCCTGCCTTGGCAACATCTCCCTTCAGCTGGCCACTGAAGCCCAAGCACAGGTAAGCAGACACGTCCAAGAGCTAGCAGAACGAGATCTGAACAACATCCGGATGTCTCGAACACACACCACTGGTCAGCCCAACGACTAGCCACGACATCATTCAGTCCTCCCCACTTTAGAGCTGACTTTCCGGGTTCAGGCAGCGTAGCCCGTCCCGGGATCGCACATCAACCGGAAGTGTGTTTGTGTACGCATCAATCGACACACTCACTCAAACACCATGAGCTCGCTCATATCCGGAAGCGACCTGTCCCAGCAGGACCCCCAGCCCGGCTCGGATGCAGGTGGAGAGGACCAGGACGTGACCACCAGTCCTGAGAGCGTCAAGGCGGCATCCGGCCTACTGTGAGTCTTCTTCTGCCCCCATGTATCCAACATGAGTCACCTGTTCCGCTGACTTAGCTGACTTCGCTTCCGCAGGTCAACCAGCTCCCGGGACACCACCGGTGCCACCGCCATGGGTACCAACGCTCGTGCTTTGAAGCTGCTCCAGAATCTCCAACTGGTGACAAGAGACGTGGTACGTTACAGCGTGTCTTGCGAGTTTCTGCTCTTTTGAGGCGAACAGGCTCTTGTTTTACCGCTGTTTTGTGCTTTACGTCTGCAACAATGGTTTCTTCTTCGCTACGTCCTCCTCAACCTCAACCAGGAGGGACGAAGCTGTCTTGTCAAGCGCTGGCCACCCAGTCCAGAGGGCCTGGGACCTCGTCAGTTGATCATCCGGTCCAGAGGGCCTGAAAACTCAGCCTTTCATCCCCCGGGCCAGAGGGCCTGGGATCTCATCGTTTCAACACACAGTCCAGAGGGACTGGGATATCCGCCAATCATGCAGTTCAGAGGGACTAAAACAGCAGTGGTCACCCAGTCCGGAGGGCCTGGGATAGCCTTGATGATCCAGCAGTCCGGAGGGCCTGGGGTTATCAAGGCTTGACACGCTGTGGTGGTGTCCTCTTGGGCCGGAGTGGAATGTGAGTTTCCTACCACTACATGCCTGGTCCCATGACACATATGGTCAGTCGCAGTGCAAGTTGCATTCTGATGACTGCCTCAGCATTGTGCTGCACAACCTCCAAGGCGCTGGCTGCCCCTTCACTATCCGAGTCCCGTTTGTCCGAACTGGCTCTGGTATCTGGTATCGGCCGTCCCATGTTCGTTTGCCTCTGGCAAAATCCAAACTTCAGACCTGCCTTGCCAGACCGCCTGGCCTTTCCTTCCCACCAAGCCATCCACCTGCCAACCACAACCTCAACTGACGACTCCTCTCGAGATCCTCCACTGCAACCTTCTTCATCCATTGCGTTGTCAACGAGACTGCCTAGCGTTCTGCTCCGCCTTCATCTTCGTCCTCCCTGCTCTCAATCATTCTTCACAGCATAGCCTCACCCCTTATCACTTGGGTTCTGCGTTTTCTTGGACTCTGCTCATTGTTTGATTCCAGCTCGCGTTTTCTTGGAGTTCTTCGTACCCGAGAGTCGCGTGTTCTACCATCGCGTGCCAGCTGTCCTTTTCGAGCGCAGTCGTTCGCAGTCGTTCAACACGCTCTTCTGGAATCATTCGCAGTCGGCCTTGTTCTGGAGTACCTTGGGAATCATTCTAGTCCTTGCATCCCTTGCGCCTTTGTTTCCCCTCCTTTCACACGAACGTTTAGCATCGACAATGAGCTCCAAGTCATCTGCCGCCGATGGAGCTTCGCTCTACTCGTCAAAGGAGTCAACGCTCATATCAGCGGAATCAGCTAACCCACGGCGACAGGCTCCTTCCACCGACCACTCGTACCGTCCCGGTCAACCTTCGGGACTTGCGATCACCGCCGGTCGAGAGGAGCCCAGCCAGGGGCCTGGTGCTGTGCACCTCGTCAACGTAAGTATCTCCATGGCTCGCAGCAGACGACATCACTACACAGGCAACATTCTGACTTCGCACACGTAGGAGGTGCGCAATTTGTGCAGTGAAGCGCAGGAGAATCTGCAATCGTTGAACCAGGCTATCCACCACGCGACTGGCATACCTGGAAGGACCGCAGATCTCATTGGCAATGACTTGAAGGCTGTGGCCCATCAGTTCATTACTATCAGCTCGGTCTGTAATGCGCTGGAGAACAAGTTCGACGCAGACAAGCTCCACCATCGCCGAGAACTGATAGCCCAGCAAGCCTCGCATGAGGCTTACCAGGGTGGTCTTCATGGACAACTTGCCAAGGCCAACATGACGATTGACGAGTTCCAGAATCGTCTCCGGCAAATTGAGAAGAACTCCAAGGGCGAGCTGGAGGCCAAAGCACAGAGGTTGAACGAGAAGGTCAACAATCAGAAGCGCCGCATCAATGAGCAGCAGGCTCAGATAGAGGTATGTTTTCCCCCAAGACACTCCGACAAGCAAGTTACGCGCATGCAGCTAACCTGACATACCAGACCCTGAAGCGGAAGCTGAGCCAAGGAAGCAAGCTCAGCAAGCTTGCCATCAATGACAAGAGGGAGGATGACAGCTCTCCTCCGTCGGAATTCCCTCACTCCGCTACTTCTGAGCTCACATACAGGCACCGCAGAAGTCCTCCCGTCCCTCAGCCAAGGATGGGATCATCCATCACCCAGCAGGACCAGGAGTTCCTCCTCAACAACCTCAGAAGCAACATTGATGGCCACCAGGGCTTCCCTCCGCATCAGGGAGGTACCCGAATGGAAAGGGACAATCACTTCCAAGGCGGACCAGCTCCTACCGCTCCCTCGTTCGGCCAGTTCGGCCACCAGCTTCCAGGTGCTATCGGCCCAAACAACCCCATGGGTGGCGCTCCAGGCTACTACGGCCCATACCCTCCTGCTCCAGCATACAGCCAACACACTGGTGGTCCCACCCACGGACCACCTGTGTCGCATCACATGTATGGAATGCCGAGCATCCAGCCTTCTGCGCCTCTTTCTCACCATCGAGTTGGCCCCTCTGGCTATGCCCCTCGCATCCGTCCTAGCAACGCCCTTGTTCTTCGACAAGACGACGGCGACGACCCTCAGGTGACCTCGTGGAGAGAGATATTCCAGAAACTGTTCAATGCTGTCAAGGGCTGGACAGAGCAGTTCGACGAGGAGGTCGCCAGTGACTCTGTTCGCCGCGTTGGACCGGACAACCCAAAGCTGTGGGGCTACATCCTGAATGTGGCGTCTTGCTACAAGAACTCCCAGAGCACTCCTGGACATGCTCTGTTCCTGCTGACATCCGAAGAACACCGGACGAAGTTCATCACTCGCTTGTTCCTCCAGTACCTTGAGCAGGAGGTGCTTCGTTCCAAGTTCTGGCTGGGATGGGACGACAAGCTGGACGCATTCCTGGAATCCTCAGTATTCCCTAAGCTGGAGACCACTAAGTATTCGTTCGACCAGCGCCGCGTCGCACGTGAGCATCTTCAGAGCATCGTCGACCAAATCGTCAGCGGCCCCGGATACAAGACAGAACGTGACCGCAGGATGGCAAATCACGCCAAAGCCCTCCAAGACATTGCGGGGTCTTTCTATCTGAACAACGCTCATCAGCAGAGTGCCATCGTGGGACTGCACAGCATCGCCAAGATTGCGATAGAGGTGAGCGCCAAGATGATGCAGAGCCGCCTGTCATTCTCATTCATCTGGAACGAGTGCGGCGTCAAGTTTAGCCACGACTCCCACCTGGCCATCAACGAAGACCTCCATGGCTACGCGGTCCAGTTCAACAAGCACATGCGCGTTGCCATCGTCGTCACGCCCGGAGTCAGCTACCGCGACGACAATGGTCCCAGCATCGTGGCACGCAGCCTCTTCAAGGCGCACGTCATGGTCATGCATTGAACGGAGCCCATCCCCTGCTCGTGAGGTGTGGTACATTGGGCGTCTGGATTGGGGGTCTCTGGCCATCCTGGGCGAGCTGCCAGGAAGCGGTTTCGTGAGTACTGGCAGAGGTCGGAACGCACCTGTCCCCATGGCAGTCTCGGCCTGATTTCACGCTCTATTTCACTACGGCCCTCGAGGCTGCTTGCGCGCTCTTCTTCGGCATACATTCTTCTCTCTTCTCGGTTTTCTCCTTTTCCAACTGGACGGAGTTCTTGACTTTTTGCCTCTTTGATTTCCAGCTTGCCCTCTTGCAGTGTCACCCGACAATGGCTTGGCACAGCCCAGCATGATGATGGCTACCTGGTTTGCGGCTCTCCTTTTTGATCACGATAATGACACACTTCTCTTTCGGCTCTACTTTCTTTTTCATTTTTCGGCATCTCGGCCTCGTCTACGGCTGGTATGAGGCATAATTTGGCAACGCAATGGCGTGTTGTGGGTCCATAAGGGACCTTTTGACAGACTTGGCTGTCGACGCACTTCCTCTCTTTCGAGTTGCCCGCTGCGGATGCTTTTTCTTTCTTTCATGAGGCATACGAGGCACGATGATACTGGGTCTTCATTAGGCAAACTGCCTGGAAATTGACGACTTGCAATGGATCAGGAGTTTCTGGACACTCCTTTCTTTTTACGGACGACGGTGGACTTGGGCACACGGTCACTCAGATGCGTCCAGCTTTAGAAGGTGTGACGTCGGCACCGACAATGGAACCCTTGGAGGCCCTTGGAGGCTGCTAGGATCTGGAGAGCTCTATTGCATGGCCATTGACGGAATTCGACGATAGTCACACTCTCAGGTTTCGTAGACAGAAAAAAGAAAAGTCCTCACGGACACCAAACTGATGGTTTCTTGCTTCATGTGACGTTGCTGGGTGAAATGATGCAGGCACAGCGCTGTCAAAGTGCCACTTCTGGCAAGATCAATCCCGCTCATGCCGTGGGAACTCCCGTGGGATAACCTCCTGTGCGATAGCCTCTCGAACTACATGAGATAATCTCTTGGTTCTCCCTGTGCATTTCTCTTGGCCAACGTTTCTCAACGTGTGAATTTGTGTTGCTTATGGAGGTTCCTTCCAAAGGCCAATTCCTTCCACTGCCACCCAATGCTATTTAAGGATTTCTATCACAGTGTGGTTTCTGTGGGTAGGCTTTTTGTTCGTTGTTATCATGATGAACTTTGCTCAAGCAACATCAGTCACGCTTCCTGAAAGAACCACTCTAGGACTATGAAACTCAAAGTGTAATTCATTGAGAGGAGAATTCTGTCTCCAACGGGTATCAAACTAAAGCTACATTTGTTAGGTAAGACGATGTTTCGACAACGCACCACCAACGCCAAGAGGACAAAGCTGGCCATCAAATGTAGTCGTCTGCTGTCCTTTTCCTTTGCCTGATATCCCTTCAGAGTTTATGAGAATGCAAAAGTCTATGGGTGCCAGTGCAAGTTACCACCTGACGGGGAAGGAAAGCCTTGCGCCCGCTGCTCCTCCTCTCGATCCTGCAGGCTTTGGTGGAGGGATTGTTCCTGCTGCTGCTGCCACAACTGCGAGGACGAGGGTCTCTCATGGAAACCACCAGGCCAAGCGGATTGTTTCTGTTGTTGTTGCTCCCACCACTGGGGGGAGCCCGCACTGGGACGGGTATGAGGAGGAGGAGGAGCCGGTGGGTTGCTGCTGTATGGGAGCTGCGTAGAGGGTGGTGGGGGTTGCTCGGCATAGGCCTGGTGGTATGAAGGCTGCTGCTGCCACGCATATTCTTGGGACGGGCCGGACTCAAAAGGCCGCTGGTAGGGTTGCCCACCGCCACCGTAGGATCCTTTCTGTCCTCCGAGCTGCTGCTGAGGAGGCTGCAGATACTGCCCACTTCCCCCCTAGGGACGCAACATGCCGCTCCTGCCGCTCCTCTGGCTTCTCCGCTCCGCATCCATGATCCTAGCACGATCGAGTCTCTTCACAACGGCCCCGAGGACCACCTTGAGTATTCCATCTCCGCTCAGGGTGGTTTGTGATAAAGAAACGGTATCAACCATGTCCCGCACACCACCACCCATCTCGGCCAGATCATCGTCCAAGGTCCGAAGGGCGTCAGCCGCACCGGGCTCGTTGCCAACCTGGAAAAACTGCACGCCGATCTGGTGTGGCGGGGCCTCCAGGCGGTCGAGCTTCTGGGCGACAGACAGCAGGACGGACTCTGGGTCGTCGGACGGCACGCCGTCGGTGATCATGATGACGTTGATGGGCTTCACATCTGTGGCATCCGGGTCGCCGCCGGCTCGCTCCACGGCCGCCTCGTAGTGGCGGAGATAGGCCTTCAGGATGTGGTTGAGCCGGGTTCCGGTGGGCGTCATGCCGCCAGGACGGACAGAGGTGAAGATGCGGTCCACGGCGGAGACGTCTTTCACGTTGGCATATCCGCCCGAGGCCTTGCCTTGAGACTGGCTGGCGGGGTAGGGCGACCGGTGGTTCAGAAAGTAGATGTCGACACCGTCGGCATCGTGGGCGGTACAGATGGGGGTAATGGACGAGAGGGCTGACTGGACTTCCCGCCAGGACCGGCCCACCATGCTGCCGCTGTCATCGACGAGGAAGATGGTGTCGAAAGAGCTCAGGAAGGCATATTGATCCTCCGGGGTAGTGACGGTGATGGCAGAAAGCCTGGACGGCGTGGGGCTTGGATCCCGCGCGGTATAGGCCGGGGACGGTGCGGATGGGTAGGCGCTGGCTCCGCCGGTGGGCGCACTAGTATATGCCGGAGGAGGCTCATTGTCTGCAAGTAGACTGTCAGTATCTACATGAGGTGATCAGGGTAGTTACACGGGCGGAGGTGGGGCTCACGAGGTACTTGGGTGGGAGGAGAAGCAGTGGAGAAAGGATTGGAGAAGGGGTTGGCGCTGATGCCCTGGCCAGAGGTAGCACCTGCTGAGAGCCTCACGGGCTGTACCTGCGGCTGAGGCTGATGGCGAGGCTGTCTGGTCGACCCCTGAGATGCATTGCTGGGGGATCTGGAGAGCTTGTCCTTAATGGAGCCCTTGATAGAGCCGAGAAAGCTGTTCCTGTCGCTCATGGTGGCTGCGACAGGGCTGAGTATGCGGCGAGAGACTGACGAACGGCAACTCAAGCGACTGTTGCGAGAACTGTTCGTAGACGGGTGGATGAGCAGGTCGGGCATTTGTGAGGAAGGAGGAGGTCTGAAGATTATTTCGGAACAGGTTGTTGGAACTAAGGGATGCAGACGGCGGAGACGGTAGCGAGTGACTCCTTATTCAGAAAGAGTTGTTGCGAAGGGAGACAAGCAATCAGTGAGTGGCCCTGCTCCCGTGACTTGCACTTGCGCTTGCACTTGCGCTTGCACTTGCAGTTGCACTTGCAGTTGGACTTGGACTTGGACTTGGACCTGGCCGGTCAGTTGGCAGCCTTGAGACGATGGTCGACGGTTGATGGCCGATGGTCTATTGATGGTGGTGGTGCCCGTTCATAGCAACTGCCCGATCGCATCTCAACAACGACGGCGCCTTCTTATCACATCGCCGTCTCCCAGACCCGAACGGCTACCGGCAGCAGGTGTGTGCCTTGCGATTGCCTCCCCCCGGGCGGAGCATGGAAGCGCTCACCACCAGGCCCGACCTTGGTTGGGATACTAACCCCTTTGTTCATGTTGATTAAGTACAGGCACCAACCCAGGCAGAGAGCAGACTTGAGGGACGCAGAACCAACATACCGGACGTTTTACTACACACACACACACACACACAAATGGCATGAGTTGTGAAGCAGAGGAGGGGCCGCGGCCGCATCCAGAAGGATGGGTGAGACCCGCTGTCATCAGGTGCGCACATTGTCAGTCGTTCGGCTGGGCTCAGCCTCCCGCGCCGCTTCGGGAGGAGAAGAGGAGGCACAGCACTGCCACGACGCCGCCCAGTGGTCAGAGGTTGCACAGCATGCACTACATGTGCTTGGCAGCATGTACATGATCCAGCCCACATGTCGGAATTTCTGCCGGCCGGTCTGCCAGTTCTGCCTCGCAAACCAATTACTGATTACGGTATCCGCCCAGGGGCTGCGCCGTGCACGCGCCTGACTGATTCTGAGTGTGGTTCTGATACCGACATCTGATGGGCATGGCAAAGGCAAAGCACAGCACGGCGTCGTGTTGGCGGGGCTGGGGCTGAGGCTGAGGCTGTGGCCGGGGGTTTCCCCGCCCCTCGCCCACCACCTAGCGTCTACCACTGCATCCCACATGGATGGCTCACGACTTGAGACGGGCCTTCCAGGACCCCGCCAAGTACCTGCATAAGCGAGGCCTTCTTTGCAAGGGGTCGTCGACTTCCATGGACTGTTTAGACTTCTTAGTAGTGGTCGCCCTTGTTGCCTCCTCCGAATGCAGAACAAATGCCACGGCGCACCACCGGCGTCTAGTCGGCCATCAACAATACATCTCACTGCTCGCTTATGGCAGAGTAGACAGGTTCGTCCAAGACTGCGGTGAGGCCCTCTATGGCGCCGCCGAAGGGGAAAAGGATGCCCAACATCACCTTACTAGCCATCATGCAAGAGTGCGAACTTCTGGCATGAACATGGGCGGAGGAGCGGGTGTTGGTCGGCCCAAGACCCCCAACATTCAGGCTCCCCTCGGGCCGGGGTCAGGGGGTCTTCCGGCTCCATCATCTCGGCCTCAGAGTGTCGCCAAGACAGTCGCTGCGGCTCCGGTCTCTAGGGCCCCGGCCATGGACATCCTGGATCTGAACCCGTCCTGCAGGTCCACACGACCGGTCACAGCCCAGACACTCGGGATCTGGCCTGGGGGAATGGCAGCATCATGGCTGCCGTTGGCTTGGAGTCTGTCATATCTCTCTTCTCTATTGTTGCCCTTCCACGGCCATCCCGATCCACGGGTGTGTCAACGCTGCGTGTGATGGACCAGGCGGCCAGCGTGGACAGAGTGAGCGCGGCCACAGAGACCAAGTCCTCTTCATAATATAGAACAATCTCTCAATTCGAATCACTGCTGCAAGGCCGACGCAGCAATTTCTCACACAAGTCAAGCTACCTCAGAGGGAGCCGGAGCCACATGGTTGGACCTGACCAGGTTTGCCACGGAAGATCAGCACTACGGCTTGCAGGAATCCCAACTGTCTACGTGTGACGGCCTCCCGTGGGATGACCACTTGTGGGATGAGCTCGAGTGACACAACATCCCATAAGACAAGATCAAGTAGGGAGACGCCCAGTAAGACAACACCAGATAAGACAAGGTTCTATGGTACAAACCTGCGGAATGATCTCCTATGGGATGACCTGCAGCGTGGTGGTGGATAATCCACCCCCTTGTGTACTGTGTGCAGGCCTGGGATCTCTTTGCCTTTTCTACTGCTCATACCAGCCCAATATTTCTGTGATCTGTACGCAGCAGATGGATAGACTAGATGCTTGGCACACTTGACTTGATCGAAATTCGGAATTGCCCTGTACTGTCCCTGCGTCGCGTCGCGTCGAGGGCGATGTGTGCCGAGTTCGACGGGTGAAATATGACAGGCAGGTAGCATCAAATCGTCACCGCCTGATTGCCTTGGCCCTGCTGCCCTGTCACACCCTGCTGTAACTACCCCGCTGTTGCATTCTCGTCTGGTGGGGTTGATTCTCGATCCAGGAGATTCAAGTGGGGAGCATCGGCACTGGACCGCCCTGTTCACTGCGTCCCTACAACACACTGATTCAGTCCTCCTCCGGGGCGGCTCTGGGGCACAAGACAGGTCTCCATCAGGATGATTCCCAGATACGGCAATGGATCGTTGACGGGCCCAGCGACCTACAATCTGATGTTGCTATCTGAGACATGTGTGCGTGCTGTGCGTGTGTTATGTAGACCAAATAAGAGCGTAAGCCATGCAACATAAAACGTGGGAAATAGGGATGGAGGTCCAGCACAAACAAGCGTGGGCAGCCCCATCACACCTGGGTCTACCTGATGGAAACCAATCAGCCGCCTGGCGTTACCGTCGCCAGCAGAGAATATGCCCCGACTGCAGGCATCAAGCCCCTTCGCGAGGCCGTCGCCAAGATGTACAACGAGCATCATCGCCAGGGGCAGGCCAGCCAGTACACGTGGGAGAACGTGGCCATTGTCCCCGGAGGTCGTGCCGGTCTAATCAGGATCGCCGCGGTTCTCAACCAGGCCTACCTGGGTTTCTTCATCCCGGATTACACCGCTTATAATGAGATGTTGTCGTTGTTCAGGAATGTGAGTCTGACTGGCCCGACCGTATCGCGGTTCGCGTGGGGAGCGACAATTCTCACCAAACACCATTATTCTAGTTTGCAGCTATCCCTGTGCCCCTGGACGAGGAGGATGGGTACCACATTCACCCGGACAAGAACGTGGCACCGGCGTGATCTTGACCTCGAACCCTCGCAACCCGACTGGACGAGTTGTGCAGAACCCGGAGCTGGCAGAGATCCAGGACATCTGCCGCGGTCGGGCCACCTTCATCAGCGACGAGTTCTACTCGGGCTACAACTACACCTCCAACTGCGACGGGTCGACCATCTCTGCCGCCGAGAACGTCGTCGACGTCGACGAGGACGCCGTGCTCATCATCGACGGCCTGACCAAGCGCTTCCGCCTGCCCGGCTGGCGTGTCGCCTGGATCCTCGGTCCCAAGGAGTTCATCAAGGCCATCGGCTCCAGCGGCTCCTACCTCGACGGTGGCACCAACGCCCCCTTCCAGGAGGCCGCTGTGCCCATGCTCGAGGCCACCCTCGGTACGTTATCAAGCCTTCCACCGTGTTACTGCTCACAGAAACCACGAGTCCATATTTCGCAATGGTTTACTGACTTCTCGCACAGTGAGAGCCGAGATGCAGGCGCTGCAGACCCACTTCCGTGAGAAGCGCGACTATGTCGTCAAGCGTCTGCGCACCATGGGCTTCGTGATCAAGTACGTGCCGGACTCGACCTGATACCTGTGGCTCAACCTCGAGGGCCTCCCGGGCCCCATCAGCGACGGCCTGAACTTCTTCCAGGCCTGCCTGGAGGAGAAGGTCATCGTCGTCCCGGGCATCTTCTTCGACCTCAACCCCGCGAGGCGGCGTGACTTGTTCGACTCGCCCTGCCACCACTTCGTGCGCTTCTCGTACGGGCCCAAGATGGAGACGCTGCAGCTGCGATGCGACGGCATCGAGAGGGTGGTCAACAAGTAAGTGACATATGCCACATGGGCGCTCTCCTGAACATCCGTTTTACTAAACTCCTAAACAGGTTCAAGAAATTTGGAGACAGCTGAGTTGGATCATGGACCGGTGGGTAGAGGCATGGTGATAGAGTATATATAAAAGCTACAGGCTCTGAAGGAGGACGTCTGGGAGACTTTATAGGCGATATTCAATGACATCATCCTTGACTTGCGGCCCGCCTCACATGCAGACCTGTATCTGGAAGGTGATAAAGTGTATTTGCGTGAACATCTGGGAACGTAATACCAGTTTGAGCTGTGATAAGCGAATATGCCAACAACTTATGTGCTCAGTGGGATATTGGACATCATCTCGAGCTCGGGTTACTCCCTGCGTGAAAGCTTCCCGTGCATGAACACCATGACCACCTCTGTGATAACCCCCTTTGGATAACCTCTTACGGGATAACTTCCTGTGGAGAACCCTTCTTTGCAAGCCCACCTATGGGAGGGTGGTCCTGTGAGATACTTAGGCTGACTCATCTCATGATACCTGCCTGGACATTTTGATATCCCTTTCTAAACATATGCACTTGAAGCTCTGATGTCGAATCACGAATTTAAGGAGCCACTGATTTGTGCCTCCCAAAGCATAGGGTCCTTGAAACAGGTTTTATGGCTTCTGAGATTTGATCTTCGTGAACAGAATACGCCCCAGTCGGAGACATGTGTATGGGAGAGAAGTGTTTTCCTATTACTTCGATCAAGTTACTGTCCAATCCTTCCAAGGCGGGTCAGTTGTATTCCGCGGCATATTCCTACCAGATCAGGGAGGTAGCATCAAGCCCGGGAACTTGGTGTTTACTTGACTAAAGCTTAACTGACTTGTCAGAGTACCGGCTTATAGTATAAGGCAAGGCATGGGGGGAGAAGTTCTAGTAACTTTGGTCACACCTCACCTCCTGCAGGTCACCTGGATCTCGCCACGATCCGTCACCTTGGGGGTCATGATTTCTCGGAATGTGGCACCAGCCTGTCACTTGTGTCGCCCAAGACTCACTCGCATGCAGTCCTTCAATTATTTGCCCCGTTCTGGGCGGCTATTTCCTCTCCTTGATTCCTTAATTTGGCAGTGAAGCATTGAAGGTTCTTCTTCGGGAGAATCCCGGAGTTAGCTACATACGAATAGCCAAGGTAGTACGAGCCCGGAGCTCTTGACCAATATGTACTGTAGCTAGAAATAGTGACACTTGAGAAAGAGCATGGGAAAAGCCGCGTTGAGCGGCGAGGAATATTTTGTCACCGAGCTTGGACCATCCGGCCAAAGCCACCCGAGTTGGGCTCCCGAGGCAGGTAGGGCCTATTCTAGAAACGACCCGAAAGTCCTCGTCCAACGATCGCCGATGAGCCTCAAAAAACAGGGACGGACCTCAGCCAGGCGCTACAAATACCGGTGTTTCTCGAGACAGCCTGCCCTGAACAGGTGAACAGACCTGACTCGAGTCGGCAATGAGGAGGACCTGGGCAAGCGCGCGAGACTCGGCCAGCCTCACCGCAGCTGCTCACCGGCGCACACCACGGCCACCACTTTTCTTAACCACACCTGGACCCAGGCGCCTCGGCGGCGACGACCTTCCCTCCCCGTCACCAGCCGCGTCTACCCACAGCTGCTACCACACCATTACTACCACCAGGGCCAGCGGCTCCAGCAGCAGCGAGCCCCCACGCCCGCGGAAGTAGGGACCACCCCGGCCGCCATGGGAGTGACAGGCAGCCCCTCGAGCACGCAAGCCGCGCCCGGGAGCACACAAGATGGGCCCTCAACCGGGGCGGCCAATCACACCGCGTCCAGGGATCCAGGCGCGCCGAATCCGTCTGGGGCCGCAGCAGGGCACGCCACAGATCTTCGCGAGAGTGCAGGCGAGCATGGAGAAGCGGCTGCGGGAGGACACGAGGAAGCAGAGGGACCACCAGCAGCTGCAGGGGTCGAGGGGGTTGTAGGGGGAGGAGGAGCATCTGGTGGCGGTGGCGGCGATCCGAAGGCCCTCCCGCCTCCGACTGAGGGCGGAGGCGTGCGGACCCTCGAGGTGGATGGGAAGCCTATTAGCCTGGACCATATGGGGCCTATGGTGGTTCACAAGGACGGCACTCTGTCCAGGATCAGTAACTGGGGTGAGATGACCGAGATTGAGCGGCAGAACACGCTGCGGATCCTGGTGAAGAGGAATCAGGTCAGGCTAGGCGCTCTGAGGCAAGGATTGCAGACGGAGAGTGATGAGACAAAGTAATCCATCAGTATTGTTGCTGAGCATTCATCGCGTTATCATCCGCCCCTAAGACATGCCGTGAACCAAAATTACATTTACCACATAACCATAAACATGAAATCAAGTCAAGTGAAGTCCCCCCCTGGGTTCCCCATGTTCCAGGGGAACTATGCTCCTTGCCCAATTTCCCTGCCCGTGCCGCACGGAGCAGAACCATAGCGTTGGCCGAGCCCAACCCGAAAACGCCTGCCAATGTGTGTGCATCTAGGGACACAATTTCGTGACCCTAGTAGCTAGCGGGTATATACTCGAGAACAGACCACCCGGTAACTCAGGCGCTATGAGGATGTTTCGGCCTTGGCCCTCTTTCCGTCCGGCGCCCCGTCCGTCTTGGCGATGATTTCAGCCTCAGCCTTGTCCTCCTTCTTAGACTCGCCAGTGGCTTTGGATGGGGCCTTGCTGGGAGCGGTGCCTTCGTTCTTCTCGATAACCAGCTTTTTCAACCATTGGTTCTCCGTCTCCAGCTGTGTGATCTTCTGCTCCAGCGCGGCCACCTTCTCGGACATCTCCTTGGCGCTCTTCTCCAGTGCCTGCTCCCTCTGCTTCTTCTTGACGCGGAACCGAGCGCTGGCGGCAGTGTTCCGCCGGCGCTTGTCCTCCTCGGCCGCGACCCTTGAAACCTCCTCCATGTTCATGGCGCGAGCCTGGGGCTCAGTGGCCCGGCGCTTGTCACCCGTCTTGGGTTGACTACCGGCATGGTTCCCGTAGGTGTGCTGGGCAGGGTAAACAGCCTGTGGGTTTGGCTGGATAGGCTGCAGGCTTCCGAGGTTATCGGGGAAATTGTTTAATGTGGGAGACGCGTATGCGTTGTTGAAGTCGCCAAAGTTGAACTCTCCTGTACGAGGCATAGTGCCATGATCAGCACATGTAATTGGCGGGAATTCGATTCATCAAGGTTGCGGAAACGGTGATAAGACACGCTGCAAAGAGAAGCACAGGTTGAGTAGAGAAGACTGGTGAACAAGCTTCACAGCCCCCAGTGTGTTGACCATGTCAGACATATCAAGAAACGGACGACGCGGAACCATGGGGGGTAGTATGGGGATAGGTGCAGTGAGGCATGGGTTCTGTCGGTTCTGGGTGAGGCAGAGTGACGCTGCAGAGTCACGGGGGATTGCGCCATCGGTGGCCATTATGGCGGATGCATATCTGGCACTACCCCAGAGGCTGCCCTCGCAGGACGCAGCCGGGATTGACATGTCCTCGCATCTGAAGATGGCCAAGGCCAATCAGATCGGCGGCTGATGGCGCAAGCTGGGAGCATGTCGCAGGCCGTAGGTGCAGGGTGGGGAAGCAAGGCTATTCCTCTGTGCGCGATAGCAGAGTGCCATTGGCTTTTGGTCAAAGTCTCGGGGGAGATCTGAGCTATTCGGAACCGGTCTGAGGTTCAGAAGGCACTTGCCTCTTCGACACGTCTCTCGGCACTCACCGTCCCCTGCCGATAATACGGCCCCTCCCAGCCGGGGTCCTTTTTTTCTCGAGAAGAAGGGACTGAACTTCTGATCGTGATGGCCCGCAGTGTCCGAGATGGCCGGCCAGGACTCTCGGCCGCACAGACTGGGCAGGGGAGGACAAGCAGAGCGGGTCAGGCAAAAGCATAATTGCAATCCAGGCGCTTCAAGAGCAAGCATCAGACGTAAATAGAAAATCCAAGGGGCCTACCATTGTTCATGTTGAAGTCCATGCTCCCAAATTCTCCTGGGATCGTTGACGTGGCTGATGTCGGCTCGGGTTTCGACGACGCCGGGCTGTCGGCAGCGGGCTTGAAGTCGGTCTGGGTCTGGGTATCAAAATCGAAAAACTGCGTGTTGGCAAACAAATCCAAATTGTCGATGTTGCTGAAATCCTCCTCGGGCTCGGTGGTTGGCGCCACGTTCAGCTGTTCCCTCATGAACTGGGCCAAGTGGGACCCTTGCCGCCTGTAGTTGGCCATGTCGACGTCTGGTGGTGTCGGTCGAACCAGGCGATTAGTTTCGAGTACTCGCAGTACCGCTGTCGGAGCGGTGTTCGGCCGTCGCAGTCGACGTCACGATCGTAATCGTGGTAGCGGCGCGGTCTCGTCGTGAGTTGGGTTTTCGAATGTGCGGACTCGAGTCCCGATGATTAAATTGATCGGTGTGTTGTGGTCGGCGCCCCTGTTTGCAGCGGGTGTCGATGGGGGTGATTTGTGTCTTTGGGGGAGGAAATGCCACGAGTCGAGGGTTTTGTGTGGTTGAGTCAGTTCGCAGAGGCGGGTCCCAGGAGGAAAATGTAAGAGTGGTGCCAGTTGAAGACGCCGACGATCGGGGGGTCGGATTACTAGTGGCGATCCAGGTCACACACTGTAGGAACGGATGATTTGGCGGTAATCAAGATGCAGTAAAGCCGAGCGTCATCCGGGACCCGTGCACGGCGTAACGACAATAAAAGGCGATGCTGGGCTCCCGGGGGAAGCGACCAGACAGAATCAGCGATGGGCGGCTTTTTGGTTTGGGAAGAAGTCCAAGACAAGAGCCAGTTTTAGACAACAGGTCAGACGAGATGTTGAGAAGGGGATTGGACTGAGCGGAGTGTTGACGAAGCTCTTTGATCTGGGGAGAGGGGGAAGGTGAAAGAAAAAACAGTAAGAGACCGGGGTCTGAACAAGGACGTCTGCGGGGCCTCACGAGAGGTGGTCGTGGATGCAGGAATGAGGGAAAGAGGGAGCGGCCTCAAGTCAGGCAGTCAGGGACTTCAGAGCAAGCGGGTCGGCGCTAACAGTACATCGGTAACAGCCTGCGGTCGGAAGGGCGCCTGGCCGTGTGCAAAGCCCGTAAGGGGCCCCTTCCCGCTGTTAGAGGGGAAATCTCTGATCCGGAGCTAAACTACTTCATCCTTCATCATCTCTGCGAGACTACGTCCCCATCCCACGCGGGCCTGGCGGGGACATTTCCCAAGATCGGATGCGCCCCATACTCAGGCCAGGCCACGACGCCTCTCTGGCCAGGTCTCGCCGTCCCCTCTCCAGCCTCTGTGCAGCCTCACAAGTTCTCGTCCCCTGGAGACCCCCAATTGACCGTCTGCCGGTTAAATTAAGAGTGGGCGAAGAGCCGACAGCGTCACCACCCACGGCAGCCCATCCCACATGGCGAGGATTGAATTATCTAATAAGTGGTGGGGCCCTGGTCAGCTACCTCGGAGCTTGTGTCCATCCCGCACAGCAAGCCACAGAATGCAACTAAGGCCATGCGGATTCCAGAAGATGGCCTCGACTCGCCCACGCAGTACCCACGCACACGGGACACTTGACTCTGGATAGGCAGCTGCACGCGAGCTGTGCTTCGTGCCTCATCGCTCCTGCACGACGCAAGTCACCAGTGATGCTGGTGCAGTAGTGGTGGTCTTGCCGCTGCCAATCCAACGCTGCTGACTGAGTGACTGGCTGACGGAGTGACTGGCATGACAGCCCAGAGCCCACAAACCACAACCCACGCAACATTCTGTTTGGTACGTAGTATACAAACCCACACAGCATCGGAGAATAGGTCCTTGACATTTGAAGCCACCGATCTTCAGAAAGGGCCCACGGACCCAAAGACCCAAGGATCCAGCGGTCGACAAGACAGAGGGTTTCAACTTTCAACTAGCGAGAATGGGCCCGATCGTTGCCGACTCGCCGGAGATGCGCCGCCTGCCAAGCTGTAAGGAAGGAGCACCGCACAGACCCCTTATGGGCATTGATAGGTAGTCCTCGGCCCCTCGGCCCTTCGGCATAAACTTAAATAGAATCACAACCAGAAATTAAATATAACCCTTTTATTACAAAACCCCTTAATAACTTAGCTTGAATTATAAGAATTAAACGCCAGCTGGTAATTATTATAAACATAGCCTTATTTAATAAGATAATAAGAGCATTATTATAAATTTATTATTAATTTCTAACTACTTGCTTTGCTTTTGCATAACCATCTTAATACTTATTTATTTAAATTATTTAGTTATATAGCTTCGCAAGACTTCACGGCTAAACTTAAATAATTATATGCTTAATAGCTTTTATAATTTTACTACTTATTTAAATTTTTATATATTATAAAGATTTAAAATAATAAGCTTAAATATGCCTATTTCTTATAGCTTACTTTTAATGAAAATGATTTAATTCCTTAAGGTAAGACTTATTGGCTGCAGAATTGGTTAATAAAGCGGAAGAGCCTTTTTATATTTCTTACTTACTAGCGGGCATTCTTACTGCTTAAATCCCCTTTAATGTTTAATCCTTAAGCCGCTTTTTTAATTAGCTAAATGCTACTTCTTAATAATTCATTATATATATTAATTAAAATATAATCTCCTTAAATACTTAAGCATTATTAAATAGTAAGTTTGCTAAGTTTATTATTATCCTTAAGAGTTTTCCTTAAAAATATGCTGTTATTATGGTTTGGGCTTATGCCCATAGTGATTAGTTAGCGGGCTCTAGCCCTATAAGAATAGGCTTTAGCATGAATATAAATAAGAAATAAACCTTCTCCTCTGCACTTTAAATATTAACTTTATTTAAGCACCTTTATTTTGTAAGTTTAAGGCTAGCCCATAATATATATTTAAAGTCCTCTTGTATTATGGACTTATAATGCAATTATACGAAACCTAATATAATAAGACTTAGAAGGAATAATAGCAGCCCGCTAAGCCCTTCCCTATTTTAAGGAGCTCTTATCTTAGGAAAGTTTAGCAACTTAGCTAATGGAAATAAGAGCTAAGTTTGCAGTAAATAAGGAAGCAATTAATATTAAAGGGGCTTAGTTTTTTTATATATTTAGCTAATTAAGAACTTTTTATAATTAATTTCTACCCTATGTTAATTCTATGAAAATATTTAAGGGGCAGCTAAAAAGCTTTTTAAAAAGGGTTTGCCTTGCGCTTAAGGATCTTTTTAAGCAAAGGTATGCTGAGCTTAGCTTAATTACGTTATGGTAATGCCGCGAGGAGGGGATGGCAGATTTTCTTGCTTGCTTTAATTAGCTTTCTTATATAGTTAGAACCTAAGCTTAGCTAAATAATTATAAAATACTACTTATAGCTAATAAACTTGCCGCCTTAGTAAAGTTAAGACTTAATTGCGAGGAGTAGCTAAAGACATTTAAGGCATTTTGCTTTGCCTTACAACGATATAAGGGTGTTTTTAACGCTATGGCAGCGAAGGATAATACTTAACCTTAAAACGGCAAAGTAATGAATATTAATATCGCGGCAATCTTAATAGGGGGAGTTAAGTATTATGCTTATGGCCAGCTTAATTACTATAAGCATAATTGCTTAAATTGCCGCGGAAGAACTTATATGCAGCTATTATTAATTAGGCCTAGCGAGGAAGAAACGCTTAATTAAGGTTATTTTTAATATGTAAATTTTTTTCTATAAAGTGGGGCTTGAAGTAATGCCAGCTTAGTGCCAACCCGGGCCTAAAGCAAGCCAGTTAATACTAGCTAGTTTAGCGCTATGAAACTTTCGGAGCCTAGGAACTTTCCGTTAATAGAGCAGATTATTTGTAATTAAATATTAATTAATTGCAGGTTATATAATAAGTTTGCAGCCCTAAGGCTTTAGATAAGGAAGCTTGTGTAAAAGGCATAGATTAAAGGATCTTAGGAATGCCGCCAGCTTAGCCGCTAGCTTGCGCTTAAATGATTATCTTTCATTAGCTTGCTTTAGCTAGTATATTAAATTATAGGGTATGAAAAGAATGAAAATATATACATAATATGGGTTGGCTTAATAACGCAGTTAAAGCGCCGTGGATTAATTAAATGGCTAAGCAAAAGGTAATGTTTAATTCGTGATTAAAGCAGTGCTTTCTTTATTTTTTATTATATAATTAACCCCTTAGGAAGGCCCCTTTGCAGCTTTAACTTAGGGAAAGGGAATATGTTATGGTTTAAGCTTGTGCCCATAGTGATTAGTTAGCGGGCTCTGGCCCTATAAGAATAGGCTTCGGCGTAGGTGCAAACAGGGAGTAAACCTTCTCCTTTGCACTTTAAATATTAACTCCATTTAGGCACCTTTATTCTGCGAGTTTAAGGCCAGCCCATAACAGCTGCTTATATTAATATATAATTAAGATCTTAGCTTTTCCTTGCATTTAAAGAAAAATAATAAAATGAAATTAAAAGGCTTTAAATTTAATAATAATAATATAGCATTACTTATAGCTAAAGATATTGCTAACTTTATTATATAGGCAATAACATAGCTTTATAATTAGCAAAATTAAGACTTTATATATTTAATTATTATAGCGTTTATAAATACATTAATCTCTTAAGTTTATATTTAAGTTAAGCTTATATAAAATAGCATTAATAAATATTTTAGCATTTAGCTAGTAAATATTAGCTATTTTTACCCTTATAAATATGTTAATTTAGGTATTTAATTTAATAAAAAGATTATAAAGTATTTTAATATTTTTTATTTTATTAAGTATTTAAAGCATATTAAATGAATTTATTTTGCAAATAATATTTATTAAGTTTAATCTTAATATTTCTTAAAGGATATACTTAAATAATACTTTTATATCTTAACTAATAATAATTACTAGCTGCTTAAAATAATAATAATTTAAGCGATTTATAATAAGTTAAAATTGCATTTCACTAAGTTCTTTTTAAATATTATAGCTAATCTTAAGATAGATTACTTATCTCTTTATTAAATTATAAAGGGATGGAATATTACTTTATTTCTTTAAATTATTATTATAAATGCAAAGGCTTGCAATATAAAGCTTTTTATATAGCTAATTACTATATTTAAATTGCTTGCTCTTAAGATTAAGTTTAAACTTTAAAAACTTAATAAAGTAATAATATTAAAAAGCTTTTTAAATAATGTTTAAAATCGCGAAAGTATAATTCTTAACTTAGCCTAATAACAATATTTATTTGCTTAAAATATTATCTGTCC